GGAGTTTGCAGACCGCACCATCAAGACTTTGGACGAGCACACGCTAGAGGAACCTGTTGTACCAGGAGCACGCTCCCTCCCAGCCCTCCAGCACTCCATCCGACCCCCAGGTCTCCAGCACAGAGGGGGTGAGCTCCCCTCCGGTCTCAGACGGCCAGAGCTCCGAGGGAGCACACGCAAAGAAGAAAGGGGAGCCGCTGGTAAGATACGCCTGCGCGTGTGTCTGTGTGAGTGTGAAGGAAACCTGAGCGTTCACGCGCTGCTTAAGAGCTTAACATCATTGAATCATTTCTCCTCACTGTATCATTGATTTGACTATTGGCTGTCAAGAGCAAGACAAACACTGTGTTTAGAAAGAGGATAGGATAACACAATTACTGCCGTCGGCACCGTAGCTCATCGTGATCTCTTTCTCTGGCACTTTCATTTTGTGTGTGTGTTTGTCTCTCTGTGTGCATGCGTGCTGCAGAAAACTAATCAGGTTCTGAGTCATTCAGATAAAACTGTGGTCAAGACAATGGGCAGCCCGACCACACTGATGCAGAGTAATGTAGCCATTTAGCACTTTCTCCCATTCAAATGATTGCGACCTCCCACACACTTTTTCTCTGTTAGCCTCAGATTCCGGAGCGCACAGATAGTGTGGGTGCACTAAGTGACTCTGCAGTGGCGGGTAGGTAGCATTGTTTACATAATCTTGCCCATATCACGTTTTTACAGCATGGTGGTTTGAGAGCCTGTTCCCTCCCCGTTCTTCCTGGTCTTACAGCCACCAACAGGGTTTTGAACAAAGGCGATGTGGCCACCAGCTCCAGTCCAACAGGCTCCAAAAGCCGCTTTCAAGTAAGAATCCACTCTTCACAATCTGTTCAGAAAGAAGGATCTTTGAGCAAATGTGTGTAATTAATTTTTTCCGTGTCCTGGATCCAGTCTGCTGCTCGAACGCCGCATTAGTTGAAGATGTTTGTGGACCCTGATTTTGTTGGCTTCTCCTCTTCTTCTCTTCCCAGATCATCCCGACTCCACCGGATGTCGTTTGCTCTTTGGAGAAAAGCAAGAACAGCTGCGGCACCCCGGCGCCCTCTAGTGGTTCTGCGGGCTCACACAGCCAGTCCCAGGGCCCGGGCAGGAAAGACGAGGACTGCGCGTCCCCGGGAAAGTCCTCGGGGACAGCTGCAGCCGATCGCGACCGAACGTCCAAACCACAAAGTAGTAACCGCTACTCCGCCCCGCCGAACTTCTATCGGGCCACCCCGACGACCAGCCCCGATGTCACCCCGCGGCACATTCCCCGGGCCCAGACGATGGACACCCCGACCCGTCGCAACTCCCACCACCCCTCTCACCTCTACTCGGACTCTGCGGACGAGGACAGCAGCGTCGCCCTTCCCCCGGCCCAACCGCCGCCCCCTGCTCACGCCGCGTCCGAGCACAGTGGAAGCGACCTCATGAAGAGGGCGGTGGCGTTCCTGCGGCGCTCCGGTCGGAGCAAAAGCGAGCAGAGCTCCGATTCGCCGAGCCGGCAGGCCGCGTCGATGAACGGCCACGCCCACTCGCCCTCCACGGGACACGCCCCCTCGTCTTACATGAGCAGCGACAACGACTCGGAGTTTGAGGATGCGGACATGAGGAAAGAACTGCAGAAGCTGAGAGAGAAGTAAAGTCACTCACAAACATTCACACGGCCGGGGAATCGGGAAGAAAATAAAGAAGTTTGTTTTAACTAATAGATGCTGCGTGAAACCTCTTAGTGGATTTCTAAATGATCGGATGCTATTAAGCTTTGTCGGTTGAGTCGATCTAGCATCTTTTCAGACACACAAATCAAATGAGATCGTCTGCGTCGAGCTCGTCTAGTGACGAGGCTTCAGAGGAGAGTAAACTACTGAGGGAGTGCTAAAAAGACCAAAATGTACTGTTCCTCCCTGTTCCTTCTATCTAGACACATGAAGGAGATCTCGGAGCTGCAGGCGTTCCAGAGGAGCGAGATTGAGCATCTGTACACGGAGCTGGGCAAAACGCTGCCCCCCAACGTCTGCCTGGTCCACGCCGCGCCCCCAAGCGGCCGCAGGCGCAGGGCCAGCAAACACAAGCTGAAGGCCGGGAAGCTGCTCAATCCAATGGTGCAGCAGCTCAAAAACAATCTCAACATCTCGGCGGAGAGGAAAGGTGTGTGTGTGTGTGTTTGCGGAGGTGGGGGGTCTTTGATGTAGGTGATGAGTCATGAGAGTATTTTCAGTCTGAAAACAAAGGAATGGCGTCTGGTTCCAAAACACAGTGGGAGGGTGTGATTCACTCTGACTCACTCTTTCTTTTTTTAAATTCTATTTTTCTGCTCCAAGGTGAGAGTGGAGCCAGTTCGTCCAGCTCCCCGGCTAAAAGTTCGGTTCTGTCGGACGGCTCCGTCCACTCCAGTGGCAGCTCCAGCTCCAGCAACCCGCCGCAGGGCGGCGGTGCGGAGCAGGTCCTCACCCAGCAGCCCTGTTCCCTGAAGGGCTCCTTCTCCTCGGACAACATCTACGGCGGGCTACACGCGGATGGAACGGCCAACCAAGCCGGCCCCGGCCAAGGTACACAATGTAGTGTCTTGTGCGTGCTGTGTGTGTGTGTGTGTGTGGGGGACACGGCATCTACAAAACATCAGCTGTGCTAATGTTGTCTTTGTTAACATCCTGCGAGTAGAAGCATCAAAAGTTTCATCCTTACATCGTTCTTTATTCATATTTCTGAGGCGATAATCGTCTGAAGCAGAGGTGGGTAACGTATCCAATAAATGTAGTGGTGCACATTTCAAAGTTCACTTTGTAATTTTCCATTATGAGAAAATTTGAGTCATACTACACGTGTATATGTGAACGGTGAGTTCATGTTCAGTAAAAGAACGTGAATTAAATATGATAAATGCAAACATGCGTACTAAAATAACTAAAAACAATGCCTGTAGCTGTATCCCATACATTATTAAGTTGTACCAAATGTTTTTTCTTAGTCAGAGGTGTTTTGATGGAGTTCATTTTAAAATGTACATGAACACAGAACCTCCTCTTTCAGTCTAAAAGTCTTTTCTTTTGTTTCCTGTGTAACAGGCTGATTGGAAATGTGGTTGAAATTCATTCTGTTTTTATTGATCTCAAAATGTCTTCTGTTGAGTTTATCATATTTCTGCTGTTACAAAAGCATATTTGGGCACAAGTGCAAAAATAAAATCAGCACTAATTAATTATTAAAAAGAAACTAATCCGAGAGTCGTAACCCGTGCAAACAACCACAGTATTCTCTGTTCTCCCCCAACGACGCTCTCTGTTATCAGATGAAACTATTGTCTCAAAGTTCACCGATGTGGGATCCTGCATATCGTGCACTCCTTCTTAGTGTCTTTTGATGGTGGGGGTTTCTCATCCCAGTCTCTGTATACTTTTACCAGGTGTGTCTCTTGTTTCTTCTCTTCTTCCCTCTTATATTCATTTTCACAGGCTGGACGGTTTTCCACCAAACGTCAGAGAGAGTCACCTATAAGTCTAGTAGCAAACCACGCACTAGATTCCTCAGTGGACCTGTGTCTCTGTCCATCTGTTTGTATTTGTTCTTTTCTATTTCCCCTCGCTCATTTCCATCTTCTCTTTATTTAACCTGCCTCTTTCTTCTATCAACCATTTCAAAAGTATATATATTTATATATATATATATATATATCTGTATGTAGTGGATCTTCTATTACCCCCCCCCCTTCACAGGCCTCCTCACCAGACACTCATTTTCTATCCCTCAACAACCTCAAGTCTTTTGTTCCGTATGATTTCCTTCTGAACGGCCGAGGATATCCATCACGTGCACTCGTGACATTAGCAACCAAACCGCATGTCTTCAAAGTCCACTGAATGGAGGTAATGTAGCGAATCGCCGGCTTGTGCAGCCGGGAAGTGTTTCCTTTTCATCTTGAAGCAGGTTTCAGTGTAGCCTGTCTGTTAGCTTCAGGCTAAAGCTTCCTGTCACTGCGGTGTGACATCATCATTAGTGGACGCTCGCTTGTGCCAAGTAAAGTTATATCCCTCTCCGGAAAGAGCTTCTGCTCAAATCAGACTTATTTTTAACATCGGTGTCCTCTTGATGGTTGAAGTTCTGCCTCAGCTTTACTTTAGAACCCTGGGAGAACACGATGAAATGACTTTTTCTAAAAATACTCATTTTTTTCTTTTTGTTATTGCAATAATAGTAAAGCTCCTGTCAGTGGGAAAAACTCACCCTGATGGCCGTTAGTACAATATTATTTAATTACTTTTGCCTTTTTTGTCAAGAAGTTTTTTGGCATGTTGCCGAAGTCATAAATTCATAACGGATTCAAGTGGCCTGTATTTGGAAGTCGATTTTTATAGATCTCCATTTTCAATGTATCGTTTATTCTCCCCCATCGTGCATTTCCATTTGATTCTTAGTTTTTATGTTGAAAGCGAGAGGCTGCGCGTCAAAGCCGAAGCCTTATAACTTGATCGTTGAAATGATTTGCGTTGGCGGTGCGCAGATGTTCGTAGCAGCTAACGGGCGCTCCGTCGTCCATTTGTCCTCACGCAGTGTGAAGGCAGCCAGTCCAGTACGTGCTGGTCAGAAACGACAGGGTACAACAAAAGGTAACGGCGTCTGTGACCCCGGCCGACCCCAAAGAGCCCGGTCAGCGTGACGTTCACAGATCCGTGTGTGTGGAAACCAGGACGCTGTAGCTTTGGGTCTTTGTTTTCGAATCCGTAGTCCGGCAGTCATTCACGGAATCACAGATCCATTCACAAACCATTCATTCACGGGTATAACCCCCCCCCCCCCCCTTCCATACCTGCCCCACCCATACAAAGGCTTTGTGCAGTGCTTCTGGCTTAAAAACAACAAATGCACTGGGGCTAATTCTCTCCAAACATGGGCCTGAGGTCAGATCTAAAAACAGACAGGATGCCTGTTGTTTAAGTGTGTGTGTGTGTGTGTGTGTGTGTGAGTGAATACCAAAACCCTTTTTTTTTTTTTTTTCTTTCTTTGTGTGTTTCCATCCACTGTTTATTTTGATTGTATAACGTCCCGAGGCAGCGGCCCTCTGTACATTTAACACAGAGGGGAGAAGACACAAACACAAACCCCGCCTCCCGCGGTAGGCAGCTCTGTCTGTCCCTCATGTTTGGACGGAGAAGACGTGCATGGTGCAGGCGCCAGGCAGGGCACTGATGGAGACTCGCTCCGCCACACCAAGGGCTGTATCATCAATATTACTTCTTCATTTTTCTTCCCTCCTCCTTCCGCCTCTCCCGAGTTACCTGCATGTTTCTGACTTTGAGTGCCGACCCTCGATGAGCTCCAGCTAGTGTCCGCGCGCTCTTTCCCCCTTTTTGGGCTTTTCTTTATTTTGGTTTTCACGTTTTGGCTTCACAGGCAGCGTCTCGTCGACAAAGGGATCAGTCGGTTAACGCCGGCTCCAGTCCTCCTTTCGTAGACGACACTTTTACCTCGCTAGCGACTCACAGCCAACGAGTTCTAAACCGAATCTTCACCCTGTAAAACGTGAAGGCGATTTAAGACGAGGGCGACGGGACGTCACCAGATGTCCGTCCAACACGGCCATGTTTGAGCAACAAAACAAAGAGAGGGCTTCATTTAGCATGTGCTCTCTGCCAGGTCCACTTCTCACACGATTCTAGAGAGAACACCTAGGCGCCTTCTTCCTCCTCACCTTTAAACCCCCTTCTGTCCTCCTTTTCCCTTTTTCTCTCCTCCCCCGATTGTTTTAATAGCTGAATGTGCTTTTGAAGCAGCTTTTCCACATACGTGTGGTGTGCAGTGTGTCCCGGCCTAACTGTTCCTGTCTTGTGCTGTTTTGCCTTTTTTTTAGGGTCCACTCTGAAACGACTATGTCTAGGCAAAGATCGCAGTAGTAGTAACTATCTCATTTACTTTCTTACTCTCTGTCCCCACTATTTTAGCCCTGCTGATTTTTGTATGTGCACTTTGTTTCGTTTTGGTTTTGTCGCGGTTGTTGTCGAAGTGGGTTCGCTACACGTTGTTGCATTGATTTACGTTTGTTGTCGTTTTGCATGTCGATTTATCTTTTATTGCCAAACTTTGTCACTGCTTGCATACCAAACATTTCATTTGTGTATGGAAGTCGCTCATGTTGCGATCCTTTGGCTGCTACATTGGCACATTTATTCAACAAAACATCAGTAAATAAATATAATAATATGTTTCCAAAAGTCTCATTGTGCCAAACAGCAGCCAATTGATTTAACTGACACACTTTATTTTAAATAATCAATGAATGCCCCGTTTTATATTAACACCTTTTTGCGTCTTTTCAGGGTCCGCCTCCAACAGCGCCGCGGCTCAGCCCCAGCCGCCACTCGCCGCCGCCGCCTCCGCCGCCACGCCGTCTCCCCGGCCAATCGCACGGCTCGCTCAGGTCCAGACCAACAACAGCAACAACAAGAGAGGCACGTTCACCGACGACCTTCACAAACTGGTGGACGACTGGACGAAGGAGACCGTGGGGGCGGCGGCCAATCAGCCGCGCCCCTCCCTCAACCAGATCAAACAGCAGAGGCGGCAGCAGGACCTGGAGGCCAGAGCGCCGCCCGCGCACGAGGTACAGTTTACAGATCAATAACCCCAGAAGTATAAAATGACCCCCCCCCCTCCGATCGCTGACATCCGAGGCGCCCTCCCTGTTTCAGACCAAATGCCACGGCGGCCCCCGCAAGTTCCACGCGCCCCTCCCCTGCCCGCTGCCCGCCGCTTCGGGCCCCGGGGGGGCCAACGAGCCTCGCCCCCAACGCCTCGGCGACGCTCCCCTCCGGGGTACCTTTCGCCAACGGGCTCGTATGGCGGCGCCGCCGCCCCCGGCCCTCTTTACCCTCAGCAGTGGCCCGGCCCCGCCGGCCCGCTCGCTGCTGCGGGGATAATGCCCTACACCACGACGGCGAACCGGCCCACCGGGACAGAGGGCGTGGCCCACCCTCTGTCCCTGCACGACCCCGAGAGCGGCCCCCGTCTGAAGACCGCTAGGACTACCTAAGCGGCTTGCCGGCGCCGATCGGGCGCCGTCGTCCAGCTCACTGGTTCAGTGAAGCCACAGATGTACATAATCAGATCCTGTAAAGTACATGATGCCAAGTGTTGATATTCTTTATACAACACCTATATCTGTAATTAATGTGTGTGTGGGCGCGCGTGTGCTATCCAGTATGTGTTCAGTATGTATGTCACAGTAACTAATGCTTTTTGGCTTTGGTCTTGACTAAACTCAGCCATAAAAGACAATTTGTCTGCTGTCTCAAACGGTTTCACTTTATTCTTCATTACAGCGTTTTCCACATTGATTTGGGCCTTTCTCACTTCAAACACTACATTGGAACCCAAATACCAGTGGTGTGAGATACAGTATTGATGATGAAGATATTTTAAGGAATGTAGTGCCTTGAACATTGATTTCTTTCTTCTGTGAAACAAAGCATGCGTGCATAAGAGTTATTTTATTTGATGGTAGCTTGAGTGCAGTCTCTTTTTTTTTTTTTTTTAATGCATTACAGACACTTTTGGTTTCGGTTTACATATGAATGCCCTTGTAGAACTGCACTATTAACACTATGCTCTTATTTAAAATAATAAAATCATGTTTTAACCCTTGTTTACTTTCCACCCCTGTGACAGATGGATTGCCATAGTGGTGAGATGTTGCCTTGCAGAAACAAATAGTTAACGTACGACTGATGAGAGAGAGAGAAGGACAAAAAAAAAAAAGTTACGCCAGCAGCCAAACCCGCTCTTTCAGGTCAAACGGTTCCGTCGGACGCAGCCTCTTTTTGATAGGACGCCTGGCGCGTTGGACGACCTCGTGCTCGGAGGGCCGGGCGGCGTCCAGAGCCACGCGCGCTGTGCACGGTTCCTCTGGTGGCGTTCTGATCAGAATGTAGCAATTAATATGTGACGGCTTCAGGCTCAAAAGTGCAATTTAACCCCTCCACAAAGCTTTGATCGTGGTCCTGCCACAAGCCTTATCTCCGACGTGTGCAACGGGAGCGAGCTGAAAGGAAAAGCTCAACAGTTACCGAATCACCAAGCAACAGACGGAGGTTGCGTACAAACATTACAAACCTCCGAGTGAGCAAGTCACTTCTGCTAAATGTTCTCTCAACTCGGCTGTCCTATTACTCCGCATACACGATATGTGAAATGTGTTGTGCAATCACCAATTGAGAACGATGTTTTTAAATGACTTGATGTTTAAGCTTTCTTTTCTTTTTCTTTTTGTTTTGATGCTGCTATCATCTGAGGTGATGCCACTGTACAGCTAAGCACTCTATTCACATGAAATGGTACTTCAATACAGATTTAAATTAACCAGTGAGACGCTCACAGAGCAGTGTTATTGCGTGGTCGAACGCTTGATGTGTTTATTTCCGGGTTGCTTCGAGTGACAGACGTTTTTTTTTGTTTTCAGTAACATATTTCAAAATTCAAACGATACTTGATAAGGGAGATTTGCACAATATAGTCTCCCTTAATTCTCATTTTATGTTTACGACTCCCCTACACCGTAACAAGTGGGTTTCCCCCCCATACGGACACTTTTTTGTCACTGAAAACTGGCCAATGCAAAGATACAATACAGACAATACAGCTCTTTGTTCGATGTTTCTCAACCCCACAACACGTGTAAAAAGTTTCAGCATCCCAATTCTGCCAAGCTGTGAATTGTACAGTTTTCTTGTTTATATTTGTACTTTTTTTTGGGACTGTTTAAAGGTGATTGTAGTGGTTGTGGTCGGGGTTGTTTTGATGTCTATTATTCCATCAATTCGGTTTGAATTGGACTTTTATAGGATATTATGCAGAGTCTTCTGCTTTGTTTGAAATACTTACAGTAGTAAGAGATTTCTGTTCTCTGTCCCTCCTATCTGGTTTTGTTCCACCTGTTCCGATGCTGCCAACTCGTGGCGAGCAGAGGAAGGAGTAACTGTTGGCATATTCATTTGGATGCAGCGATCAGACGGAGGAGCTGATCTGCAGAGAGGAAGGTGACTGTGAGGAGGAGTCCTCACACTTCCCACTCTGCTCATCTCACTTCTCTCTCTATCTCTCTGCAACATCGCCCGCTGGTGAATATGCTGCGATTGTCAAAGGCTTGTAATCAAATTGCGTGGGGTTGCTTCTGCCTGCTGTGTGTCCCACTGCATTACCCCACCCTGCTGCACTCTATTCACAGACTGTATGTTCAGAGAGAAATAAATATTATTTTGTGCTTGATGGTACGTTTCAATGTTTTTTTTTATTTTCTTTGCCTTATTTTATTTTAGGTTATAACATTTAAAAAATGTTATTTTATCAGCATTGAGCTAAGATAAACAGTTGAGGGTAATTAAATCAACACATTAAACTGAGGACTATTCCTATAATAGCTGTTTTTGTAGATGTAGTTGAAAGAGTGACGCGCACTCGGGACGCTTCATGCCAAGAGCCTTGAAACTGACCCGCAGATTCGCAACATTTAACTCGAAAGTACATGTGGGGGGGAAAAAATGTCCGAGTAAAAATAACTAAATAAAAACACGGCTAATGTATTTTTAAGTCTCTAAAATGAAGCACACGGGCTGCACTTCCACACAGAAGCCGAGAAATAGACCCCGCTTTTGGTGCGACGAATGTGCCGCCCCGCGTCCGCGGCGTAACGTTACAGCGACGGTTGCCCCTTTTGTTCAACCGAGTTCCTGAATTATTCCCAACACAATGAAATATTCGGGATATTACGTTTTTATAAACACACTTCACTGTTCCCGCGTGTCCGGCGAATCTCACCTGGGATAATCTAATGAATTAAACACAAAAACAAAAAAAAGAAACCGATCTGCAACCCTTCCCGATCCGCTGTGAGGTTTCCGAAGCACGCAGCCTTGAGGAACGTGGAGTAGTAAGTGTTTATAACGTCGCTGCCGATCGGTAGCGTTGCGCGGTTGGAGGCTGGGTGTGCTGGGGGGGTAAATAGGCTCGCGTTTTGACAATCGAAAGGTAACCATGCGTTTATGTTGTGTGTGGTGATTGTGTTACTCCATCTTAACCCCACTGAACCCAGAAAACACGAAGTAGCAAAGCCCCGGTGCATAATAAGCATGCCTGACTTAATGTGCCCCTCGCATTGCACAACACTTCACACGTATTGAGCCGCAAGGAATGCACGTTAACTGGTCGATCGATCTCAGCTAATCGATTAAGCGCGTAGACCTGCTCCCCTCCCGCCGTAGTACCTGCGGTAGCCTCCCCGCAGCGTCGCGTTAAACTGTCATTTCGCTGCTCGGAGTCGGGGGTGGGATGCACGGGGTGAGGTCATTGTGGAGGGAAACACCGTAGAAGCTTGAATGGTCACTTAGGTCACATTCGGGCCGACGTCACAGTGTGCGTAACTTTTAAAACAATATTTGGGTTTTTACCGTCGTTAAATGATAACATGATACTATGCATCCTTTGGGTAGGCTAGCATCGCGCGTTAGCTCAACGTCCCGTCCACTCCCCCCCCTCCCTCCACACTCCCGTGAATACAGCTACATTTAACTAACCGAGGCTACCCAACGTTACGGTTAACCGGCCCGGATGGAGCGCCGGGAGACGGTTGGGATTAACGGGAGCGAGCAGTCGGTACTTTTGAGACGTTAACCCGTGAGTGGTGGCTGAATGATGTGGGGCCGTGTTGTTGTTTGCTAGCTGCTGTTAGCTTGTTTGGCTAACAGCGCCAGGCTGCGATGGTTCATTGTCCGAGTAGTAGAAGAAGAAGAAGGAGACGAAGAATAAGGAGAAGAAGAAGAAAGGCGTTGAGCTAAGCTAACGTTAGCGTGAGGAGGAAACCCTCAGACTGTTAACCGAACGTGGTTTTATTTTCAGTCTCGTCCGTTCGAGCCAGAGCTCGCGGGCTCGCGTAGCTCGAGTTCCTTGTCAGCTAGCCCCCCGCTGGTTTGTTTACCGGGCGTAACGTTAAGTTAGCTGCCGTTAGTGGGAAGCAGAAGCCTAAATGGCACCTGTGACTGGAGGAACCCAACGGAACAATTTGTTTACCGCCGGGAGTTGGAGAAACGGTCACGTGACTGCAGCATAACAGGTGCACGATGTGCAGACACACGACTTGCTTTGAGTCTCCAAGCGGCTGCAGCGACTCCTCTCCCCTGTACCGTCATTAACTTAACTCATGTAATGTCAACCGATGCTCCAGCGCGCTCCTCCTCTGTGCTCCTCTCTTTCCAGATGTGAACTCGAGCGGCGTCTGTCCCAGCGGTGGCTGTCGGCACGATGGGGCTGGACTTTGACGTGAAGACCTTCTGTCACAATCTGCGGGCCACCAAGCCCCCTTACGAGTGCCCCGTGGAGACCTGCCGAAAGGTCTACAAGAGCTACAGTGGCATCGAGTACCACCTCTACCACTATGACCACGACAACCCAACGCCCGCGCAGACTTTGCCCCAGAAGAGGAGAAAGGGGCGGCCTCCTCGCGCCTCCTTGGCCGGCTCCGGGGATACGGACGACGGTGGGGGCAACGGGGGCGGAGGACCTGGGCACGGGGGGAACACGCCGGGTAGCCCCAACCGGTCGGACCACTCCCACTCCCCGGGCAGGGAGACGATGACCTACGCCCAGGCGCAGCGCATGGTGGAGCTGGAGTTTCAAGGGCGCCTCCACCGCATCAGCATCTTCGAGAACATCGACGTGGTGTCGGAGGAGGACAGCGGCGCGGAGGACGCTCCTCAGTCCGGCGCGGGTGGCGGCGGCGGCGGCGGAGGAGGAGGCGGCGGCGTGTGCAACGGGAGCGACGGCGGAGCCGGCGGCAGCGAGCTGGGCGGGGGTGGCAAGGAGCGGCCGGACATCCCGTCCTCTAACGGCGGCAAGTCCACCCCCAAGTCCGGGAAGCACAAAAGCAAAGAGAAGAAGAAGGACGGCTCGTCTCATCATCACAGCGCCCAGTCGGGCCCCGCGGTCAAGCTCCCCGAGGCGGTGTTCAGAGAGCTGGACCAGGAGAGGCCGGACGCCCCCTCCCGACCGTCGTCTTACTACAGGTCTGCGTTGGGAAGCGGCATCGTTGTCAAACATACGTAATGTGCAGCGTGGATGCGGGAGGCACGTGGTCACGTTTATGGAACGTGAAGCTGACCTCGGGTTCCTCGTCCCTCTGGTGTTCAGGTACATCGATAAGTCCGTGGAGGAGCTGGACGAGGAGGTGGAGTACGACATCGACGAGGAAGACTACATCTGGCTGGACATCATGAACGACAAGCGGCGGCGTGACGGCGTGACGCCCATCCCCCAGGAGGTCTTTGAATACCTCATGGACCGCTTGGAGAAGGAGTCCTACTTCGAGAGCCACAACAAGGTAACGTAGGGGAGAAAACACAAACGCATCTGAACACTCGAATTGGAACAGAATTCGTCCAACTCCGATCCCCCCCCCCCTTTAACTCCCAGGCGGACCCCAGCACCCTGATCGACGAGGACGCCGTCTGCTGCATCTGCAACGACGGCGAGTGCCAGAACAGCAACGTGATCCTGTTCTGCGACATGTGCAACCTGGCGGTGCACCAGGAGTGCTACGGCGTGCCGTACATCCCCGAGGGCCAGTGGCTGTGTCGCCGCTGCCTGCAGTCGCCGAGTCGCGCCGTGGACTGCGCCCTGTGTCCCAACAAGGGGGGCGCCTTCAAGCAGACGGACGACGCCCGCTGGGCCCACGTCGTGTGCGCCCTGTGGATCCCGGAGGTCAGTCCGCGCACGCCGCCGGGAGGGAATGTTAGAGGTGGATGTCGATGCTGTAAACTTTGGCGCTTTTTAATAAAATATTTACACAATGACATTTTTTAATAAATCATTAATGTTCGTGTATAACACACACCCAGACTCCATGAAGTTACGTCACTTTTATGTAATTTAGCTTTTAAAACCAGGAAAAGACCGCATTTAATGTGAGAAGCATCTTTATACATATAATGAAAAACATTTTATTTTACAGCCAACACTTGAAATGATGAAGGCACGTAGAACAAAATGTAAACCATACTTTGATGTTTCATCTCTACACACATTTCGTCATATCACTTCATTACTTGCATAATGTAACTCACTAGTATGAGCACAAATCTGTTTAATGAATCAGAATATTCATATAATAATAATATAGTGTGGATCTCTCAGGACTTTCAGGCTGGTGTTGGACAGGACATACGTGGTTGCTTTGATTGTTTTGTAGTTCTAGTTTCGAGCTATTTATTAAAGTGATATCTATATAAATACCGGCTGTGTCGCCTTGAAAGCAAACCGCTGCTTCTCCTCAGGTCTGCTTCGCCAACACCGTCTTCCTGGAGCCGATCGACAGCATCGAGCACATCCCGCCCGCCCGCTGGAAGCTCACCTGCTACATCTGCAAGCAGCGGGGCTCGGGCGCCTGCATCCAGTGCCACAAGGCCAACTGCTACACCGCCTTCCACGTCACCTGCGCCCAGCAGGCGGGCCTCTACATGAAGATGGAGCCCGTCCGCGAGACGGGGGCCAACGGCACCTCCTTCAGCGTCCGCAAGACGGCCTACTGCGACATCCACACGCCGCCCGGCTCGGCGCGGCCCCTGGGCGGGGGGCAGGGCTGCGCCAGCATGGGCTCGTCTCACAGCGACGGGGAGCTGGAGGACGACGACGAGCCGAGCATCTGCCAGGACGACGACTCCAAGGGCTGGAGCTCCGAGCGCGCCAAGAGGGCCAAGGCCAAGTCCAGGCTGAAGATGAAGAGGGCGCGGAAGATCTTGGCAGAGAGGAGAGCAGCCGCGCCGGTGGTGTCTGTGCCCTGCATACCTCCCCATAGGTAGGTCCACGCTACGCCGTCCCCGCCCCCCCAGACCCTCCGTCTGTGCTTTGAGTGCGGGAGTGAAAGTGGTGTTTGTCGCTCTCCAGGCTGAGCAAAATCACCAGCAACCTGACGGTACCCAGGAAGAGCCAGTTCATGCAGCGGCTCCACAGCTACTGGACCCTGAAGAGGCAAAGTCGCAACGGCGTGCCGCTGCTGCGCCGGCTGCAGACCCACCTGCAGTCCCAGCGGCACGTCGACCCCCCGCCGCCTCCGCCGCCGCCGCCGCAGCAGCAGCAGCAGCAGCAGCAGCCTCCGTCGCTGCTCCCGCCGGTGTCCTGTGCGATTGTAAACAAACGCACACACACACACACGCGATCATTGTGCAACTCCATTTGGTCGCCTCGTTCGGCTGCGTAACACGTTTGGGGTGTTTTGTGCGTGTTGGTGCAGCGGGACGGCGAGGAGAAAGCGTCGGCGCTGAAGGAGCAGCTGAAGGCGTGGCAGAGACTGAGGCACGACCTGGAGAGAGCCCGGCTGCTGGTGGAGCTCATCCGCAAGAGGGAGAAACTCAAGAGGGAGACGGTGAGGCTCAAACGACCGTTTTGGGTTACTGATATCGAAAGCCTTTGATCGGCAGAAGCAAGCGGGTTCCCCGGGCGAGCTGGGTGGGACGGTGGTTAGAACCCGAGGGTTCTCCTGCAATAAGGGTTAATAACGTGTGGTAAGCACAGAGGCTCATGGGAATCGGCTGCAAACAGCGATCCTACTGTCCTCCACTACCGGCAGCTTCGTACTCGTACTCGTTTTTGGTTTGTTCATTCGGCCCGTTGCTCGTGTTCAGATCAAAGTGCAGCAGATGGCGCTGGAGATGCAGCTGACTCCGTTCCTGGTGCTGCTGAGGAGCACGCTGGAGCAGCTACAGGAGAGGGACATCAACAACTTCTTCACCGAGCCGGTCCCGCTGGCAGAGGTAAGCGCACGCGGTCGCTCCGCCTCGGGGGAAACACGCGGCATGTGACCTGGGAGAATCTTTGGGTCAAAGGTCGAACAGGTTTTTTGTTACGCTAAAACAATTTCAGGCACGCGCACCTAATGGGATGAAACGAGGAAGAGGAATGCGTGAGTTAATAAGTGAATTAAGTTCGGTGTAGGTGGAGGCCGGGGCTCGCTGTGACTTGCGTACACACTCCCGTCTCTGCTGCGCCGCAGGTGCCGGACTACCTGGACCACATCGACACGCCGATGGACTTCCAGACCATGTGGAACCTGCTGGAGTCCCACCGCTACCTCACGTTCGAGGCCTTCGAGTCCGACTTCGGCCTCATCGTCAACAACTGCCTCAAGTACAACGCCAAGGACACCGTCTTCTACCGCGCCGCCCTGCGGCTCAGGGAGATGGGCGGGGCCGTCCTGCGGACCGCCAGGCGCCACGCCGAGCGCATCGGCTTCGACTACGAGGCCGGCGTGCACCTCCCCCGAGAGCCCAGCCCGGACAGCCAGCGGGACCAGGACCGGGACCGGGAGCGGGAGCGCGACCGAGAATGGGAGCGAGAACGGGAGAGGGAGAGGGACCGAGAGAGGGACCGAGACCGGCCGCTGTCCTCTAACGAAGATGGTGAGTAGACGTCTGGTAGCTCAGAGATTTTCCCCAACCGCCCTCAGCCCTCCCTCGCCTGCGCTTGCTCCCACTCATGTTTGAGCCCCCCTTGGATTGTTCTCCCTGCCCCCCCTCCCCCAGCAGACCTGCTCCTGCCAGAGAACAGGCGGCGCCTCCCGCTGGAGGAGCAGCTGCACTACCTGCAGGCGCGTCTGGACGAGGTCAGCCTGGGGAAGCACAGCATCGGCCAGTCGCGCAGAGCCAAGGCCCTGAGGAAGGAGATCAGCATCGTCAAGAGGAAGCTGGCGCACCAGCGCGAGGGAGGCGCCGGCCTCGGGGGCCGGGAGTCCGCGGGAGGAGGGGACCGGGGTTCCTCCCTCCCACATCACCCGTCCTCCTCGGGACACCACGACGAAGGGGGAGAAAGCAGCAGCCAGGAGATCGGGGGAAAAGGTGCGTCTGTGAGGTTGTGAAGCGTCATTAAAATCCAGGAAATGATAAAATCTATTCAGGGAAAGTAACGAGGTAAACTTTAAGTTTTTTAAAGTTTTTTTTTTTTAAATTGTTGTATCGAGCTGCTATTAGCGTCCCCTCCCTCCCCCTCCTCCTCTTAGACATGAGCGTGTCCTCGTCGGCGCTGGCTCCAGAGGTGGGCCGCCGCACATCCGTCCTCTTCTCCAAGAAGAACCAAAAGATGGCCGGACCCCCCAAAAGGCCGGGACGCCCCCCCAAGAACCGGGATGCCGTGTACGCCGCGGCGGCGTTGGGCCAAAGCCCCATCGGCCCCCCACAGCTGCCCCTGCTGTCCCCGAGCAGGCAGAGGAAGAGGCCCCGAAGCCCCCGCACCAGCTCCAGCTCGGACAGCGACAGCGACGACGACGACCTGCTGCCGGGTACGCCGGGCGGGAGCGTCAAACGGGTTAACGCACACGCACAGACACACACTCTCACACCTCCCCCCTCCCTCTTACCCTCAGGTCTGCCGAGTAACGGATTCGATGGAGGAAACCAGCCGGTAACGGAGAGCTTCCGCGTGTACAGGAGCGAGTCCCGCCTCCCGCGCTCCAGCTCCGACTCCGAGTCCACGACCAGCAGCAGCAGCAGCGCGGCGTCGGACCGGACCAGGTGATTAGTGCACGACATGAATATATAAGCCTAGTGTTGCTCGGCGCTGTAGCCTTCGGAGAAGCTGGTCCTGATTTCTTTACGCTAAGCTAAGGTGGCTCCGTCGTCACTGCAGAGATAAGCTCGTTTCCTGCTTACATGCAGCGGTTAAACGTGCAGAAAAACCCGACCATCTTCAGCCACATCGCCTGCAGCAAGAAGAAGCGAGGCGCTTATCTGTGTTTCGTGGTGACAGTCAACAGTCGATGACATCTGCGCCCTCTCTCCTCTCCCCCCCAGTACGACCCCATCCAAGCAGGGCCGGGGAAAGGCCTCGTTCTCCCGCTCCGCCTTCCCGGAGGACAGCAGCGAGGAGACGTCGGGCACGGAGAACGATTCCTACTCAGTGGGGGGGCCGCGCAGCGTTTCGCACTGTAAGCGCGCTTTCACAGCCTCAAACACACACACGTGCATCCGTGCACGCCATAAACAGTGAGCGTGCGTGCGTGCGTGCGTGCGAGGTGCGTGTGCGTGCGTCTTCTCTGAATGATCTGTGTGCTGATCAAGTGCTGCTCATTTTTTTATTTTCTTCTGTCTTCTATCCAATTTATAAGAAATCAATGGCAAGAAAGATTCCCCTTCCTCCAAAAATGATTCGGGATCCTCGGGTGCAAAAATATTTTACAGTGAGAAGACTTTTTATTTATGGATAATGCGAAACAAATAAAACCAGAAGCTGGGAAATGAGTGACTTGAAAAAACACCAGACAGCTGCTGTAGTCGTTTCCCACCATATGATTCAGAGATAAAAAAAAAAGTGCAAATGAAGAGAGCAGCATTAAAGGGGCGAGCCTTACACGACCCCCCCCCCCCCCCCCAACTCCCCCCAACCCAGTTCTCCCCCAGGCTGGTTGGAACTGGATCTTTTTACCAGAAATCCTTATCTCTTCCTCTACCATTGCATGTCGCATCTTGTCTTCTGATCATCTACGGGGAGGAGTAGATTAGAGATTGTGCAACGGGGACTCGTTTTAAATGTAATGAGGTGGCCTTTCTACCGAAGGAGGGGCGGGGGGGTGGCTTCAGGATGCTGGGGGGTCGACCTCTGATGACTTCTTGTTCTTCTCTTGAAGCTCTGGATCTGGTGTGGGCCAAGTGCAGAGGCTATCCATCCTATCCGGCTCTGGTGAGACACGCGCGCCGCACCGTTCGCCACATTCTGCAGGTCGCCGGCTGCACGTGTGTCTGACCCCCCCCTCCCCCTTCTCCTCCCCCCTGCAGATAATCGACCCGAAGATGCCCAGGGAGGGGGTGTTCCACCGGGGCGTGCCGATACCCGTCCCGCCTTTGGATGTGCTGAAGCTAGGGGAGCAGATGACGCAGGAGGCCCGGGAGCACCTGTTCCTGGTGCTCTTCTTCGACAACAAGAGAACATGGTCAGCACTCCGGTCGCCTCCTTGTGTCGTCGACGATCATTTTCTCGCTGACGAACAAAAAAAAATAAATTAAAAAAAAACCCCGAGAACAGCAGAAGCAGAAAAGGCTTCGGCGTGTTACTGGATGTGCACGCCAGCACCTCTGTGGTGTTAGTTGGAAGGAAGCGGCGGTCGGCGAGCAGGCGGCGGAACGCTCAGCAAAATCGGGGCAAACGTGTTTTTCTAGAATAGAAGAGGAGGGGAAACCGGGTCGCGTTTTAGGTCATGCTCGTCTCTTCACGGGTGTGAAGAAAAACAAGTGTGAGAAAGCCGATGGGAGTCCGAAGGTCATCCAGGAGGTGAACTTCTCTCACGTCAGCGAGGGTTCACCTCAACACGTTCTTCCATATTCAGTTCATGTTTGTGTAATCTGCCGTACGTTGTTAATTTAATGTGAATTTGTTTACAAATGCTTAAAACTGCTTCTTTACCGATTCATAATAATGTGAAATGATCCGGAACCCGCGATTAAAAATGCCACAGAATGTTTGCTTTTGCTCCGCTGAGCCCCAGATAGAAGATTTTAAGAGTGTCTGCCGTGTCTCTGCCGTGTGTCTGCCGTGTGTCTGCCGTGTGTCTGCCGCGGCGTGAACGTGTCCCACTCACTGGTGTGTCTGTGTGGATCCAGGCAGTGGCTGCCGCGCTCCAAGCTGGTGCCGCTCGGCGTGGACCAGGAGCTGGACAAGGAGAAGATGCTGGAGGGCCGCAAGTCCAACATCCGCAAGTCGGTGCAGGTGGCGTACCACCGGGCCATGCAGCACCGCAGCAAGGTGCAGGGGGACCCCAGCAGCGAGACCAGCGACAGCGACTGAAAGGGAAAACCATCCGGAGCACCGCCACCAGACCCGGGGGCCAGTGACACGGGGAGGGGGAGGGGGTGCCCGCTGCGCCACGCCGCGTTTGATCCGACGTGTAAGATATTGTATTTAAGAGAATTGAAATTGAATTAATAATGGATGGAGGAAAAAAAAAAAAGAAACATGTTCAGGATCAAAAGAATTCCTCGTGCGTGTTCCGTGTGAAAAGAGAGACTCTTCGAGACCGACTCAAGAAAGAACGCCTCCCCCCCCCGCCCTCACCCCCCCGCCCTCACCCCTTTGTCGGTCTTCCACATTCTACACCGAAACGGGGGAGTGTGCGTCACGTGCACATCTTCACCCCCCGTCGTCCGCCTCGACCAACCAGGAGGGAGGAAAGGCCCGGCGCCACAGCCTCCAACCAACGATCATGTTATTTATTCTGCTTCCTCCGTCTCCGAGGTCGACCAGCTCCCTTTTTATCATGGACCACTTCTAATCACTCCGCCGCACGCCACGCCGTGCGGCCGTCTTCGTCGCGCCGTGTCCCATCATGTCTCCTGTTTTTACGGTTTCTTTTGTTAACGTACGTCTGAGCGCCTCGCGGCCCGTCTTAGACTCGGGCCGGGGGCTTTAGAACTTTTATATATACAGATTGCATAAAGAATAGAAGTTTAATAAAAAAAAAAAAGTTGAGTTTTTTAAACGTGTTGTGGTGACTGCGTGTGCGTTTCTGCAGGGGGCTTGTGTGGGTTCACGCTCAGCGTTCTTCCTGGTTGTGGTGAAGATGTGTGTGTATAGTTCACATATGCTCACCCGCCCTTCACTCTTTCCAAAGAACTTATGAGTCATGCGTGCTTCTTGTTACTTCTTCTCTGAACCGGAGGTGAACCTCTTCCACCCGTAAAGGTGTTGCGTGACTCCATGAAGTGACTGACCTCTGAGGGAGTGACAGCGAACCTCGGGATGAGTTCTGCAGTTGAGCTTTACGTTTCAACTGTAGCTCCCAACATCTGCTCAACATCTGCCCCGTACACACCACACTGTGTGTGTGGTTATAATAAATAATAAAGATTAACTGATAATGTAGGTCATAGAAAGTGAGTGGCCCGGAATGAGGAATTAACAAGTGTTCCAATTGCGTAAGTAAATCGCCCCCCTGACATCCATACTGGAGTATTTATGAATTACGGCAGGATTAGAAAAAAAGAAGCGTGCGTCTTGCTCGTGGGTTTGTTTTCGGGAAGGTCCCACCCCGGCGGGGGGCGGAGCCGAGGTGAGCGCGCGTGTGTGTGTTTTTTTTTCCAGCAAAACGCGCTGCACGTTGTGCAGAAGAAGGATGCGCGTCTCCGTCGCTCGCCTCGCGCTCTCGAGGGGACCCGCGGGACCCGCGCGGCGATCCGGATCCTAGCGACGGGACCGGCTCCCGGCGCGATGCGCCGCGGCCGCTTCGCCGCCGCGCTGGCGCTGGCGGCCCTCGTGACGTCACCGCTGCTGCTGGAATGCGTCCCGGAATGTCACGTGAGTTCAACGCGGCGGTCACGTCGAGTGACGTTAAATCATGCGCATCCAGTCAGCTAATTGTTAATATTATTATAAACATTAAAGATGTGAATGCTTGATATTTACTAAATGATTTGTCTTCATCTTGGATTGACTTCAGAGGAGAGGCAGAGGGATCCAAAAAGGTGCGTCTTTGTCACTTCACGTGTGTCTCATCACAGTACATCACATCTGTCTGCAGCTGTCCTCATGCTTTCCTCTCCCCTGTGCAGACCACGTCCAGGGGGACTGTCCCGTGGAGCTGAGCTCGGTCCGGCCCCCGGCCTCAGGGGACATCTACTCTGAATGCGTCACCGTCCGCGTCTGGATGAGGGCCGAGGGTACGAGGGGGGGGGGCGATCCGCTGGGGAACGTTCCAGCTTCTCTCCGAGTTGTTGTTGTTGTTGTTATTGTTGTTGTCTGACTTGTCGCTCTCGCTCTTCTCCCAGACTTCTGTGGGGAACCGAGGATTGAAATCCGCACCACTTCAGAACAGAGGCTCATCCGGCCGGTCCTGAAAAAACAAAAGACGTTTTGCAGCAGCACTAAAAGGGCTGCAGGAGAAGGTGTAGCGCCGACCCCCGTCGTGTGTCCCGCGGGTCGCTGCAGAGCCTGTGCTTCTGTGGTGAGAAGGTTTCCTTCGTGGCCTCAAACCCCCCAAAAAACTGCATCTGGCGCGGTTGTTTATTTTGTATTTCTTTCTTTTCTGACAGTGGGAGCTGGTATACAAGTGCCTCCACGCTGAGGCCGGGGCCGTCTCTGTGGCCTACAACACGACGTCCCTGAGCTGCGGTGTCAGTTACACGGTGCCAGGTAACAATGGCGCCGGGGGCCTCGAGCTTCACCTCCTTTGGCCTCGTCTTTCCTCCTTTCGCTTTGTGACAACGGCTTCCGAGTCACACTCACCGGTGTGTTTCGTGCGCGTCGTTACCCTGGAAAGACGTTCGGGTTTCCAGACTTCGCCCACCTGCACAAATGTTTCCTTTGATGCGTCACCGGTGTGTGTATTGTGACCTGGTTATATCCTGTAGCACTGATGTGTGTGTGTGTGTGTGTGTGTGTGTGACTTAGATCCCATACCAGACTTTGATCTGTCTGTCAACCACTCGTCTAAATCCATCTCTGTCGCCGTGGAGCCCGGAGACAAAGTCAGAGCCAGATGGTGTTACCGTAAACACGGAAAGACCTGCATGGCGGGGGACTCCGCCCCGATCGAGGTACCGAGCGGCACGTTCAACGACGGCACGCGCACGTGCTTTGCGTGTGCACACCAAAGGCCCAAACCCTCTCATGTCCTTTGCAGATTGATCCATCTGTGTCTCCGTTCGCTCTTCTCAGCGTCGGATACCTGCTGCCCTGTCTGTGTGTGCAGGTACTTGACGGGGTTTTTTGTTGTTGTTGTTAATCCTTAAATTGAACATTCTAATGTTACATTTGTGTCAAACCTCTGCGTGGACAGGTGTACTACGCCCGCACAGATGCCAGGCGCCACTCAAAGTGCCCGTTTCAAAACCAGAGCCCGCCAAGTGAGTGTGACGGAGGATTCACGTCAGACTGAAAATGAAAGCACCTTGCCGGGAACTTTTTTACATTTTACCACATATGACTTAAACTCTCCGTCGTTGAGAAAAACCAAAGCGGGTATCCCCCCTCCCGCCCCCCCCCTCCCCTTTGCTTGCGGTCGTTACGGGACCAGTTTTAGATCCTAAAGGTTGCTGAACCTTCACGCTGTGGTTCTTCTTGATTCTGAGTATGATTCAGCAGGACGATATTAGGATGACGGCTCGTAGCGTGTGAGCGTGTTCAGTGACCCTTTGAACCTCACGCGATGCCCTGCTGGAGATAATTACATTACATTATCTTTCACAGAACATTCCTTTTATCATTTGTTTTAAAGTTGCTACTTTTTAAACGATCCATTCAGCAAAGTTGCAGAGAGACCTTTTTACCTGTGGGTGCAGATTGCTTTTGGATTTAAGACCCTAAAACCTCACTGAGTACAGTTGGCACTGGAACTATTTCCTCCCATTTCCATGCAACGACGATACAGCATCAGTCACTTGGCTCTGGATTAATATTTACTGATCATTTGATTAGATTAGCTAAATCTATGCGACAGTAAAAATTATTTCCTGCATCGTTGTGCAATCCCTTTGATTGTTTGTGACGGCGCGTTTCAGAAAGGAACAGCCCCCATTTTCAGCTGATAAAACTAAAACTATCTGCACGGCGAGAGAAATGAATCCTTCCTTTCCTTTTTATTGGGGGAACTGACCCCAAAAGCAGATTTCACGCCTGAGTTTGACATTGTTTACTATGATTATTCTATCTATTCTATTATATCATGGAGGTGGTTGTTGTTGTTGTTGTCGTCTCCGTCATCATCTGCGGCCCCGTTGCCTCCACAGATGTCCGAGATGTTCTGGGCTCCTCCAACGTCACCCTGTACAAGTCGCGTTTGAGGTGGAGCTCGCCGTGCTCGGCCAGAGAGCTGAACGTCTCTGCTTCCCTCTGCTGGAAGCAACGCCGACGCCCGTGCACGCCCGTGCTCAACTCCACCCTGCAGCAGGTGGAGGACGAAGACGACCTGGTAGGCTCAGCCCGACTGCTCCGTGGATAATCCCACCAAGCGTGTGAAACAATGAACAATAACGTGCTCATTCCAGTGACGGCCTTTTGACCCAAACGCAGTGGTTTTAATTACAAAACTCGGCAAAAGAAGTAAAAAGACTGAGGTTGAAATCCCACTGTCTCTCCTCGACAGATGTTCGACACCTCAGCGTTGGACAAACACCCCCAGATGTGTGTGCAGGTGTGAATCAGCACAGTGTTTCCACGTTGAAAGGCCGCTTATTTGAGCTGCAGAATATCACTCTTCTGTTTTCTTTCCTGCAGTTTTTTCTACGAGGCAGCAATGAAACTTACTGCCCCTTCCCCCGTGGTGAGTCCCCCCCCCCCCCAATGCCCCTCTCATAGTCCTAATGCATCCTGCCTGTCTCGGCCTCCTGGGCTCAGCGTCTCCTTGTCCTTCTCAGACATGTTCTTCGTGGGAGGTGGATACGAGCCCGGGCCGCAGACTGTGTTTCTGTATCTCACCTCCTCCGTTCTTGCAAAGTCTTCAGCTCACCTTGTGTTCTCCACCCAGCGGGGTTGTCGCCGTGTGGGCACGTCCACTCGCGACAGTGGTGAGCGCGCGTCGAGAGACGATAAGCCAAGCGAGTGAGGGAAAAAAGATGCTTTTCTTAAATGTGTATCTTGTTTCCATCCTCACCCAAAAGTAAGTCGGGGGGCCGCAGGAGAGATGTCCCCTCTTTACGCTCACTTCGAATTCACGTGTGTGCAGTGAAAAGATGCACTCATCGAGCGTACAGATGATACGGGTGCACTGGCACATTTTTAACATTCATCACAGTGTTTCTATGCGCCGAGAGGGGGGCGGACATATCTTTCTCTTTCTGTCACTCTCCTTCTCCCTGTCCCTCTCTCTCCCTCTCTCTCTGGGCACACACACACACACACACACACACACACACACACACTATATTCAATACACAGTCGTCAGTCCCCTTGCTTCATACAGAGTCGTGATGGATGAACGAATGCATGCAAAGAATAATCGGGCCGTTCTGTTTCTGCAGACACGCACAACAGGCGCGGCATGTACGCCGTGGCCGCCGTGGTGTTTGTGGTTGCCGTTTCGTTTCTGGGAGTTTTTATCCGGCGTCTCACCAAGAGCGGCGCTTCAGGTTGGTTCTGCAGCCTCTGTTCATCAATCACTTGAATTCCACTATTGGATTCATTTGATCGCAATTGAACAATCTCGAAAGGAACTTTGAACTTTAATATGGAGTTTATTTCTGTGCTCCCTAATGAACTAAAGGTTTAGTGTTTCTGAGCAACTGAAAAATCTCATTTTTGGCTCTGATTTTAAAGCGAATTAAGAATTAAGTTGACGTATGTTTGGTTTCAATCCAGCTAAAAGATTTTCACAGTAATTTTAAAGGAAGAACTGCAACTCAAACCACAAATGAAAACATCTCATTTTCCTTCCTCCCCCCCTCCCCCCCTGCAGGCTGGCTCTGCATCCAGGAGCCCGTGTTGCTGGTGTGCTCGTCGGAGCAGGCGGCCCACATCGCTGCTGTGTGCTCCTTGGCGTCCATGCTGCAGGCGGAGCTCGGGGCCACGGTGCACACGGCCCTGTGGTCCCAAGGCTCGCAGACGCGGGCCGGGCCCGGCGTGGCAGACCTGGGTCCACTCCCCTGGCTGTACGGACAGTGGGAAGCCGTGCGTAGGGCGCGAGGTAAAGTACTGATCGTTTGGAGCCCCGAAGCCACGGCGACCTACGCCAAGTGGAGCGAGGAGAGGGCGAGCGTGGGTAAGAGGGCGGGACCAGGAGAAGGCCACGGCGGAGCGCGGCTGAAGCGCGATAGGACAAGAGCGAAGGCGGAAGAGGATTTTCAACTGAACGGGGGAAGAACGGGGAAACGCAAAAAAGAGAAAGCCCGAAGAGTGTGTGAAATTATGCGACGATAGAGACCGGACCCAGAGGCAGCCCTCCGCCGTGATCGCCCCGGTGTTCGCTGCCGCGCTGGCCTGCCTCGAGGGGGCGCTGCAGGAGGGCAAAGGTCAAGGAGTGGCCCTGGTCTACTTCCAGGGCCTCTGCCACAGACGGGACATCCCAAAGACCTTCAAAGGCTTCCCGCGATACTGCTTGCCTCAGGATTTCCGGGGCTTGATACAGGAGCTGGTGGGAACGAGGGGACGGGCAGAGAGCGGCGAACCTGGCGGCGCCCGCTGCTGGCCCCGGCTCGTGTCCAAAGTGCTCGCCATGTGGCTGGCACAGCAGCTGACGCGCAGACTGCAAACGCTGCCGCCGCCCCCGCCGCCGGGGGAGAAGGCGCTTGAGGCGGCGGGGGAGCCGGATCCTCTCCGCCAGTCGCCATGGCGAGCAGAGAAACTTTAACCTCAGGTCTCGCGTGTCTAACGACTTTTGTTCCCGCTGGAAACGCGACACGCAGCCGGCGCTCCGGTGTCTCGGGGGCCCTTGTTTTCTCGTCTTTATGGAAATCCGCAAAACATTATGAAAATCTGTTTGCAAATGGCGCCTCGCGCCTCGTGGGTGCGTTTCGTATTTGAATGCCGACAGCGGGGGAGACGAGGAGTACCGGACCAGGCAAATTTGCTTTGGGGTTTTGATAAATGGGGCCATTGAGCCAAAGCTGGAGCAGGATTTCCAGTGGGAGGAGGCAACAGGTGGAACAATAAAGCAACTGGCATTTTTGTGTGTTCGCCGTCCGGTTTGAGTAAACCATGCGGTCGCGTACCTGTTAAAAATGTGCACACAAACTACCTCTTAAAACAAAGTAGAAACCCTCCATTTTATTACTAGACTGAAAACATTGCATGGAAATCATTTCATTGGCAACACAAACTGGTATTGAAAATAATTAAAATGCTTTTAATATATAAGTGTTATTGTTGGACTCATCTATAATAATGGAACAGACTACCTCTTCTTCACTATTCTGCTTCTTGAGCTTCTTGTGTTTTCGTCGACCTGTTCATTAAAATTAGTTAAAGCGGTTGTGAACACAATGTTGATAAAAGTCCAGATGTGAGGGAAACCCAGTCGCTGCCAAAACATCATGTTCAGTACTTCCTCATTTGGCATCGATGCAACAGACTTTGTTTCTTTTCATGGGCTGACTAAACAACGTCATGGTGTAAATATAAGGTGTGAATCATAAAAAAGTGACTACAAGAATGGCCTTAAAATGTCCAAAAAACAAAAAAAACACACGCACCTTCTGTTATTGGTTTGAGATTTAGGATCACGGGCGGTTGGTCGATTTAATCAAATGGGAAATAAGGTCATAAAGGAGCTGCACGGTTGAGTTTGAGAGCTTGTTCCTTTGGTTCCTTTGGCACGCGGCCATCGTGGAAACAGCCAAATGAATTTTAGAGCCACATGATTTTGCATTTTCATGATTACAAGCACCAAAGGACCACAGAAGCACAGTTAACACAGGGGGAAGTTCTCCAAAACGTACGGCAGATAAGCAGGAATATTTTTTATCTACAACTTAACTAACCTATTCGCTCAGATAGGCGTTAATAATTAAACTTGAGCCCTCCAACTGAAAACACTCCCAACAAAAACCTGCATTCATACCAGAGTGCAAAGGTGCTTCGGAGTTAATGGGCAAACCTCGTAAGCAAATTGTCTCAGGTTAAGTTACGGCATCTCGATGGAGATGAGCTGACCGCCTGAGAGTTTAGGATACAGAGGCTGGAAAACTAAAGTCTTGGCTGAGTTACACAAAAACTATTTGCATACATACATACTTTGCCTGCACCTGCCTCTATAGGGTACTTCTTCGTGATGAACATCGTACTGTCAGAATGACCAGAAAGAAATGCTGGATTGCACATCCTGGCATTTTCAGCGTAATGCATTTAGGGTTCTGTGTGACTCATACAAAATATTTTCACTTACTGGAACCAAATATGTGATTGACTGTTTCTCTCATACGGTTGTATGTGCCGCACAAAGTATTATGGGTCAGAAAAGTGCTTCCCAATTATCAAGTATGCAAGAAAAGATTAAAGCTGCAGGGGCAAAGTGTGTACTGTTTTAGGCAGGGCAAGGCAATTTTATTTGTATAGCGCTTTTCATACACAAGGCAGACTCAAGAGTGCTTCACATCATAACATTTCATACAATAAAGTGAAATAAAATGCAGGAATTACAATTAAAAACAGCAAATAAAATTATAAATTAAAATCTTATTTAAATTGTTTAATTAAAAGCAGAGGTTAAAAGTGCAATGTAGGTAAAATTTAGCAGAAGGCGAAGCTGAACATAAAAGTTTTCAGTCTTGTTTTAAACGTGGTCAGAGTTGGGGCAAGTCTTAAACCTTCAGGAAGTTTATTCCAGCTGTTTGTTGCGTAGTAACTAAATGATGCTTTCCCATGATTTGTATTTACTCTGGGAATCACTAACAGCTTGGTGTCAGAAGATCTTAGTGATCTTGAAGGCTTATGAAGTGGAAGCATATCAGTGATATACTTTGGCCCCAAACCATGTAGTGATTTATATGTGAGCAGTTTATACTCTTCCCTTATATGCATTCAATTAGGACTTACTACATTATTCGCTAAGGATTCAGGGTCAGATACTGGATTTTGTAAAACAATATATATATATTTTAACACATAGACACTTTTGATGCAATCTCTTTTCTAAATGCTCATTCTAAATAGTACCGTTGTTTGGGTCTCATAACCGCCAGATCGTCTTTTTTATATATATACACACCTGCTCTTTATCAACATCACGTGACCTCATCTGTACGTGGGGTGTGACGGTTGTATCGCGAGCGATGGGCCACGCATAGTTGCGCCTGAGGGATGAAGGCAAAAGCAGAAGCTGGCGCAGGTGACAAGTCGCATTCATTCCACCTGAGCAGGTAAGCGCCTGCGACACGCCCAGCTGCGCCCAGCTGTCAATCGCTGGGAAACGCGCCGCGCAGGACAGTCCCGGCGGGTTTTGGTGTCGGACAAGCGGCTCCTCCTCGGACAACCGCCCCCCCCCCGTGAGTAAGGATCACCGGCCGCGTGCCCGCTGATCTTCGGATGAGGGGATTCGAACCCTCGAACCGTTTCCACGCGCGCACGCGCTTCTCCCAGAAATGTCTCTCGCGCTCCAGCGGGCGCCTCGCGCTCCTCTCGCGCCGCCGCCGCCGCCGCGCTTCTTCTTCGTCCTCGTCCTCGTCCTCGTGTCCTGGCTCCGCGCGTCTGCGGGCGCGCTGGAGGTGATGCAGCGGGACGCGCCGGAGCTGAGCTGCAGCGAGGTAACAGGCGGATTTCTGTCCCCGCGGTTGTTCACGTTATAGAGACGCTGCTGCGTCTGCTTTGTTTTTATTTATCACCATTACCTTTACGGTCTGTGGTTTGTGTCTTATTTTGGAAAATGTTTACTACATTCCTCACACCTTTTGCACACCTGTTCCAAAACAAGGTCGCTTCGGCAGACTTGATAACCTGCATGGAAGCCTATTTACTATGACGTATGAGTTACTTATTCACAGAACACATGGAATAAAATGTTAACAGGGCTCTTACAATCTCAGCCACTTTGCCATCAAAACCTTTTCAGAAACCAAGATAAGGTGTGTAAATGTATCTTGTTTTTTTATGACTTCATCAAGATCTGGTCAATCATTACATGCAGACTAACATTTAGCATGCGGTCAGAGAGGCAGCTGTCAGAGTTTAATTTCCATTACTTATTTACTATGGTGCCTGACATCTTACTCCACTGCTCCATTTCCACGCAGGTTTGTTAGTGCTGGAATTTTCTCCCTGAACTTTTGTACCAGAGATGTAAATCAACCGGAGAGTACTTCAATATGTGAAGTATCAAATATGCACGAACATATAGCAGAAGTGGCATTAACGTGTGACCTTTGCATGTGGAGGTCATTTCATTTGTAGCTACGTCAGTTTCAGAGTGCTGGTGTTGTTTGTTCTGTTTCGCACGTTTACTCTCACATGGGACAATTAAATATAACAAGACGAGTCAAACTGGGGAAAAAAGGCCTTGTTTAGTAAAATGAGTATAGTAGCATGTGATGTATAAATGTTTCTCTCTGGAACTGAACGGAGCGTCTATTATTAAAAGATGATTCCTCTTTTGATGTTTTTGCTCAAAGTGGTCCGAACGCATTGATGTCGCTCACATGACAAATAAGGAAATGCAGAAGTCACTGGTGTCACTGACCCGAAATGTTTACTGTCACCTGTCTGGAGTCTCCATTTCCATTATGAATAAAACTTTGCCATTTTTAAATAAAATAATGTATTGCAATCCAGTAACGTAGAAGCACGCTTCCTAGAACAGATGCTCTCTAAAGCCACATCCAGGTCTTTGGTTTGTCCTCATGGAAGATTTGGGGTTCTTGGTAGAACATTTTTATAAAGGTTCCTCCTGCAACCCTTGCAGGAGGTTCTACCAAGAACCCGACTTAAACGACCATAACTGCAACCACCTGGTAAAGGTTCCCCCCCAGAACACTACTAAGGTGTAATGGGTTCCCTCCCAGAACACTCCTGAGGTGCAATGGGTTCCCCCCCAGAACACTCCTAAGGTGCAATGGGTTCCCCCCCAGAACACTACTAAGGTGCAATGGGTTCCCCCCCAGAACACTACTACGGCGTAATGGGTTCCCCCCCAGAACACTCCCAAGGCGTAATGGGTTCCCCCCCAGAACACTCCCGAGGCGTAATGGGTTCCCCCCCAGAACACTCCCGAGGCGCAATGGGTTCCCCCCCAGAACACTCCCGAGGCGCAATGGGTTCCCCCCCAGAACACTCCCGAGGCGCAATGGGTTCCCCCCCAGAACACTCCCGAGGCGTAATGGGTTCCCCCCCAAGGTCTAAGCCGGTCTGACGGTCTTCCACCTTCGAAGGAACACATCCTTCTGGCTTACCGAAATTTGTTACATATTGTAAAGTTTTTCCATCTAGAACCCAGAGGGTCCTACCGGGAACCCTGTTCTATTCCAAGGGTTCCATCAAGAACCCAGCCAGTGTTATTCTGAGATCCCGTGTTCTTTGAAATAAAAGAGCTGAGACCGATGTGGTTTTGTGAGCCGAGGATGCTTTTGGAGACAGAAGGGAAAAGGGTTCTTGTCCTTCAGATCTAAAGGAATCCGTACCTACTTGCGACCTGAGAACCTCACCGAGGGCCGCGTGTTCTCACTGTGTCACTTTCACCTCCTGTTTGTGGTGCGTCTCCCGTTCTCACCCGCAACGTTCTCCTCCCGCAGGGTCTGAGCGACTGCCGCGTGAACTCAGGTAAGCCCCCCGACCCCAACGCGACCCGGCGACCGACCCCCGAGGGCGGCGCACACCCCCCTTCCCGCAGGTGATCTGACCCCGCTCCTTTCTCCGCAGCCTCCCCGCTCGCGGCTTACTCGGTCGACGCGCTGGAAGTCACGCGCGTGCGGCTCCACGTGGCCCTGCGCTGCTCGGCCGCGGAGGGATGCGAACCGTACCTGCGGATCGGCGTCGCCTTCCAAGGTGTGTCTGCCGTGAAATGCTTTCTGTCCGTGACCCGCCCGGCGGGGCGCCGCGCCCTGCGTGCCTCTCTGCCGCTTCCTCACCGCGGAGAATGTTTACGCGTCCTGTGTTTCTGACATCTCTGCCCAGTCATCTGTTGTTTCCTGCTTTTTATTTTTTAAATCACACTTGTTTTGACGGGTCAGAGGTTGAGGGGTTCTGGCAGCACACGTTGTTGTTAGTTGACTCCACTGATTGTTGTTGCAGACGTGCTTGGTACAAACGAGGCTTCCGAGCAGTCTGGGGACCGTGACCCCGACGAAGAGGACTCGTTTAGGAGCAACCCGACGGCGCACGGAAGCGGTGCCTCGGTGCCCCCCGCGCAGGGAGGTACGCAGCCGCGTGCGCTCAACAACACACACACACACACACACACACACGCACATGCACGCTGTTTTACTCCGCACGCCTTCATTTCCACTTCTGCAGCCGCGGTGACCGTGTGCGTCAGTTCCCCCGGCGCCCCTGAACGCTGGAAGACAGTCCGGTTTCGGTTTATATCGAGCCATTCCGGTTTAAACCGAGCTTCATCTGCGCACCAGGTATTTATCGAGTGGCGGCTGAGAGGAAGTTACCTCGTGTTGCTTTTTTTTGTTTTATCTTTTAATGTACTATTTGCCAGCGGTGGGTTGTAATAATGTTGATTTAAACGTGCTTTGCGGTAGCCCGCATTTAGGGAGGATATTGGCAGATCAGGAATAAACTATTAAGTCTGGTGTCTGCTCTCTAATAATATACCGGCTCTAGTTGAGGCCGCTCGCACTCTGCGACCATCAGATCCTCTCACACTGCACCTCATTAAAAATAGAGTATTGAGTCCCTTATCTCCATTCCAGTGCCGAGGCCTAAAGCACATTGTCAAGATTAAATCAACGAGCTCTTGGCAATAGAAACCTGTATCCGGTTTGGGCACTTTTCAGACGTTGGAGTGGTTTTCAGTTATCAGTTACAACAAAGATATTTTCTGATTTGACAGATGTGGCATTGTTGTATTGGAACTTTTATGTGAAGGGCTCAACGCGCTGTGACAGGCCTGACATTTCACAATGTGTTTATTTTACCCACAAATGCAGCTGCTGTTGACGGTGAAAACAACGTTCGGCACTCCAGTGGTGGTCGGCGTCTACCCACTCCCAACTGGAATGGACATCGAAAAAGAAATCACAGTCCCATCGTTAAAAGACGGTGAGTTGAAGCGCCGGGTGGGACGGGGAGGGGGCGCGACTGGTGGGAATGAGGCGTAAAGCTGCTGCCGTAGCACTCGCTTAGTGGCTTGATCATTAACTTCACCTTGTTTAACCTTTTTTCTATTAGCCTCACTTACCGGAGTGTGGAGCAGTTGATTGGCAGGAAATGAAAAACATGCCCGTAAACAGGTTTTGATGATCGACCAATTCCACGTAAAAAAAAAAATGTTGTAATTATTTGAATGAATACATTTAATTCTAGAAAATGTCGCAATCGGAAACAGTTAAACACCTTTTTAAGAGCTTGACGTCGGTGTCTTAGCTTAAAGGGAGGCAGCAGGCAGCAGATTGATATTATTAATACTGTAAATAACATTTATTTTTTTCTTCTGCCGAATTGCCTTCTTACAGTTTGCTCCATGAACCTCCAGGGGACTGAAAAGAATTGTGACGGTGAGCCGTGTTGTTGAAAGCTGTTGCTTACAGACTAACGCGCTTGCTCATGGCGATGCTGCCTGCAGACGTTCACCCGTCACGTTGCGCCGGCCCTCCGCTCGCTACCTATAACGTGTGGCGGGAGCCCAAGGCGGTGGCATGCCGAAACGTTCTGCGTACTTGTCGAGTGATTCAGCTCAACAGATGGTGACGATTGACGTCTCAGTTCCCAGGATCCACGCTGTGATTGATCGCGGGAGCAACGTGATCCTCCTGCGAATGGAAAACGCCCACGGCGAGTCCCAGTGCCGGCTGGTTTGGAATGTAACCGGAGAGGTTCTTGTGTGGGTCAGTCGACGCTCATGTCAACCTACCACATTGGTCAAAATTCTATGTCGTCTTGGGTACACGTCTTAAAATTTGGGTTTTCACCTTCACAGCCCAAAGGCAAGCGGGAAATGGTGCTTCCATCCAACTTCGTGGCACCATGCCTGTGCCTCCAGGTAGCTGATCATTGTCACCTGCAGGCAATAGGCAACACATGTATTTTATGTTTTTAAATGGGAATTTTGTTCATTTAATTTGCCTCAGGTGTGGTGCGAGGGAAAGGAACTCCGAGGCGAATTCTGCCCTTTCAAAAACCAGCAAGGTAAAAGACGCTCCTTGAAGTCAACGCGGAGAGCGACCGGCGCGGTGAAATATTTCACCGAATAGCGACGTCTCTCCTCTCTCTTTTTGCCAGATCGGCTGGAAAGAATGCAGCACAATGTGTCCCTGTCGCTGTTTGAGTCCCGGCTGAGGGGCGGTGGCCGGGGCCTGATGTGGAATGTCACCGCCCCCTGCCGATTGGAGGCGGAGCTGAGGCTGTGCAGGAAAGAGGTGGCGGGAGACCGGTGTGAGGAGGTGACGGGCTCCGCACGGAAGCTGCACGGCGGCTGGATCGCCTCGCGCACGGGACACTGGGTAAAAAAAGAAATGAGAAAGCCGGGCTTTACTGCTTTTAAAGTAAATCATCAATATACTAGAGCCACTTCTGCACATCCTCACTGCAACCGCGGATCTAACCTTCATCCTTAAAAACCGCCACCTCGCATTGTTTATGCATCTATCACGAAGAGCATTGACTTTTCAGCTTATTTCATTATTGATGCTTTACTTTCTTTTCTTCTTTTCAGAAAGCAGGAGAGTTCAATGTGTCGTCACATCCGCTGCTTTGTGTCCAGGTGATCTTCCTCTTGATATTTTGAATATGATCTTAGATGTGAGCGGGAGAAGACCCGCCCCCAGGACATTATTGAGAGGTCAAAGGGTCTTTTTTCAAGGAAACAACCTGCACACATTTTAAACCCACATTTTATTGCTTCCTCCTTGGCTGCATACAGTGCTATTAATAACTACTTCTTCTTCTTTTTTTTTAAGATAAAGCTACAAGGGATGACGTCATATTTAGAGCCCCACTGTCCATTTACAAGTAAGCTCATTATCGCCAGACCCGGTTAATGTTTACCTGCTGTCAACTAAAACAAGATGCTTTTGTTTTCACTGGGATGTGGCTCACAAGTTGTGACACACGTCCTGAGCAGTGTCTGTGAAACTACTTTAATTTATTTCCCAGCGTCCCGATGGAGATGGAGCCTCCCAATCTTCGTCGGACTGATACTGATGTGTTTGGCTTTACTTGGAGCCTACCTCATACAAGGGGTCCTAAAAGGTCGGCGTTGAATGTTGTTGTCATTGAATATTAATGGAACCGTATTATTAGCAAAATAAAGAGTTACTTCTGGTTTTCTTCAAGGATACATGTGGAGATGGTTGAAAGAAGATGACGTTAAAGGTATGAGAAAGCCCGAGCTCTAATTCACTGCTGTATAAACGCTAATTTATGCATTTGTGAATATAGATGTTATGTTTCTATGTATTCTAGAAGATGTCTTCTCCCTCTATTCCAGGTGCTGTGGGTGGGGGTCACGTGGTGCTGCTGTACCCGCCCGACGACGACCAGGCTTTGCCGGAGCTGATGAGTCACCTGGGCTCGTCCCTCCAGGCCCTGGGCTTCAGCGTGTCTCTGGACCTGTGGAGCCGGACCGAGCTCGGCGCCCTGGGCCCGGTCCCCTGGCTCCACTCGAGGCTGAACCGACTGCAGGGTCAGGGGGGCAAAGTGGTGTTGGTGCTGACCCAGGCCGCCTGGATCCGGGCCGAGGAGTGGGGAGCCCGGAGCTGGGAGAGGAACGCGGAGGACCAGGGTGGCGGGAGGAGCCGCGCCGTCCCTTCTCGCTGCGGGGACGTTTTCACCGCCTCGTTCAGCTGCGTGCTGGGAGACTACCTGCAGGGGCGCGCCGGCGAGCGCTTCATGCTGGTGCAGTTCAAATCGCTTCCGCCCGAGCCTCCGGGCGGCTGCCGGCCGCTGCCGGAGCTTTTCCGCGGCCTCCACGTCTACAGCCTCCCCTCGCAGAGCCTGGGCTTCCTGACCGAACTGGCCGGCGCTCGGCCGACGGCCACGGCGTCGGCCAGGCGCAAAAGGGCCGGGGGCCTCCGGATGGCGTCCCGAGCTCTGGCGCGGCGGCTGTCGGGGTTCACGGCGGGGGCGAATGTCCTGCGCCTCCCGGGGGTGTCTCTGGGTTTTGCCGGGTTGGAAGACTCGTGGGAAACCGACCCGTTGCAGCCCCGTCTTATCACGCCGCCCTCCAGCCCCGACGCAAACCACAAGGTCGGTGACATGAAAATGTTCTGACGGCACATGGGGGGGGGGGGGCGGCGGCGGCCGTAAGCCCTAGCTGTAGTTTAGGAATGAGCTGCTGGTAAGAATTGTCTACAGCTGATGAACATCTGGGCTCCAGGGTCCGGTGCTTAACAAAAAAAGCACCCAAAAATCAAAAGCGTTGAAGTCAAGACCACGTAAGACATAAAGACTTTGATGGTTTATGACCAAGGCGTGAGTGAGTGAAGACCGAAAGACGGACAGAAAATATTAGGCCAGCAAAATAATACTCAAATGAAGAACCGTGTCTCAAAGTATTTGCTGCGTTGTTTTGTGTCGACGCCGTTTATCCTTCTTAAACTAAGCCGGGAAGTTCTAATATTTGACATTTTGCATGCGTATGTAGCCGGATACACTGCTTTACTTTGATTGTATTTTTGCTGTTCTTCAAAGGCAAAGTAAGTTACATCCACCAATACTGTTTTACTTTACTTTAAAGATGTTTTACAGTCAATCGCGTTACAGACTGTGTGCTGCAGTATATTCAGCAAAGAGTTAAAATACATTGCATAAGTATGTAGTAGTAGGACGTAGTGGAAATGGGACACATGGCTTTCTTGTAGCTGGAGAATGATGTCCGAAACACTAAGTTTGAGTGTCATATCTATGTTTACTATTATGTCTAGATTTGGAGTGTATATTTTGGTCTATGATAACACACCTGTGTTTAATAGTACAATTATTAATACAGTTACTTTGCACTATTCAATTAATAATGCTATAAGTACTGGTATAAAAGTACAGATTTATCAGGGCTGATGACAATATTTGCCTGGGTCTCCCTCAGAAATGTAGAGTATTGCTCGTCGATTCATATTTTACAGTCAATTCTGATTGGTAGTGTTAAATGCAAACAAAAATCTATTTAAAAAAACAAACTGTTGTGAACCACTTAAAACAACCCCTTGTATGGGCAAGATCGGCCTAGCCTAGATAGAGTTAAATGAAATATTATAATACAGTTAGTATGTAACTGTAATCTCTGCACTTTACCATAATGCAAAGGACTGTAAAGGTGTTTTGTTGTTGGACATTTTGGGTCCTTTTGTCATAAACTGGAAAGCTCTGACATGAAGATTAATTTGAAAACAAAAATAAGCTATTTTCTTTCTAATTTATACAGGAGTATAATTTGAATTGCGTTTACAAGGCATGTCTGTTTTGTACTGTTTTGTCATACTGTGTAAAGAGGGATTTGAATAAAGGATCTGTCTGAATACCAGTCGGATGTGGTTTCCTGGTACTGAACAGTATTTAATAATATTCATTAGAAACATTGCATGAGATGTGTTCTCATTTTAATTCGAGTGTTTCAGAAAGCAAGCGCTTTATTACAAAGTCAGTTCATTGATTTTGCCGTGTAAAAATATTTAAATTTATTCTCAATTTTATTTGTGTTATATCTACTTTTGAATGCTTAATTTCCGTATACTTAAAGAAAACACACATTACATCACTGGGTTAAATGTGTTCTGAAAGCGCTTAACCGCGAGGGCGTGAAGTGTGACGTTGACTGATTGGTTGATAGAAGTGGGACGTTGACTGATTGGTTGATAGAAGTGGGACGTTGACTGATTGGTTGATAGAAGTGGGACGTTGACTGATTGGTAGATGGAAGTGTGACGTGGCCTGAGTGGTTGATGAATTGAATCCCCAGCTGGGCGGGGCTACATCCTGCGGGGCTTCCGCTGCACGGGAAACGCACACAGAAGCGACGGGAAGCAGCACATCCATTCATTCACCTCCAGCGCAGGACCCACACCGGCCCCCGAAGCAGCTCCACCAGCCGGTCCCCCGGTGAGCTCACCAGCGACAAAAAAAAAAACCGAAACCCACAACAGAAATGGTACACTCGAAGCATCAACAGTGTCCCTCCAAAACGTGAAACTCCGCCCGCGTCGTGTGTGCCCGCAGGGAATCAAACAACCATCGTAAGCGGACGCTGTGGCTTTGAAACAAGGTAAAATAAAGAGTAGCTTGTAGGCAGATTTGTGCTCGTATGATGTCAGGAGTTGCTTTAACTGCGATGGAAGACACCCGGTCGTTTGTGGGACGTGTAGCGACGTGGAAAGGGACGCTGTCACCGGAGTTTTGTGTTGTTTAATAATAAAGATACACCGTAAACATTAGCTGACGATGACGATGACACCGTTTCGGCTAGCAGCTAGCTAGCTATCGCGGTTAGCCATCTGCTAACTGTTGGCTAACTGTGTGTGGTGCTGATGCTGAGCCTGCTAATGCGAACGGTGAGAAGAGCATCCCTACCAGGGTTTATAAAACAGACTTTGTTAGTAAAACAACAATAAGAGAGTCTTTCCTCCACCCGAGGAATGCTTTGTGTGCGTGTTTAAATATCGCCAAAATTATAAAAATAACTTCTAATCTGAATGATAATATGAATATGTGACGGCACAGAGGAGGATGAGCTTAAGATCAGGGCAGTACATCTATCCAGTTAATCTATTAAGCCTAAAAAATCATTATCACAACTGACCCGATGTATACTAAATTAGTACAAAGAGGAACATTATCCTTCACAAAAGTATATATTTCATGGCTTTGTATTGTGTGGCTTATAATCACTGCAAAATACCATAAATGACAACTTTATTACTAACCAGTACCTAGGAGAACATAATACTAGACAAAAACATATCTTTCATGCTTTTGTATACGATTGTATGACCTAAAACTTCTGCATTATACCAATATAAATACTTTATTAATAAAATGGTACAAAGAACATTAGTCCTCACAAAAGTATGTATTTCCTGATTAATACTATTGCTTTGTATTGTGCAGATATTGTCTATTTGTCCCCACCTATGCAGTATTACCGCATCACATCCAGGTAATGGACGTTATATCCGGGTTCCTGGAGACGGCCGACTGGTGAAGCTTTTCTGAGAGCATTAGATTATATTTGCTGTGGTTTATCACTAAGAATCCCAGTTCTGTGTGTGCTTTCTGAAGGACCATGTGGTCGGCCTGGCCCTTCCTGCCCGCCCTGGTGCTTCTCTCAGAGCTCTCAGTGGTGAGAGTCCAGACCGCTCCGTGCCAGACCTGCCGGAAACTCACCGAGAGCTTCATCAAGGTACTGCGGTCACGCTAAAGAGCCGTCCGCCAGCGCTGGTCTTCTGGAGCATCGCGTTGTTTCTCAGTAAAACTTGAGTCTTGAAATGCTCCGTGTTTTTAGGGCTTGGAGAGAACAGCCACCAAGAACTTTGGGGGAGGGAACACTGCCTGGGAGGAAGAGAAGCTGGCCAAGTATGCAAGCAGGTAAGAGGAAGTTACACCCACACTTGAGTCATCTGATCTATGGAGATTATTAGCTGCTACTTTGCAGTTGCATCACACTAGACGTAGGCTAAAGATACAGGAACATTCTTTCATTCTACCAGAACAATGAAGGGGCCGCCGAAGCCTGATGTCAAAGCAGGAAATACATTCACGGCTTCGCAAGTTGTAACGTTTTCTAAGCTACACGCAATTGACCATCCGTTAAATTTAAAAACGGATCTTCTTCGGGGGTTATGGGGGGGGGGTCCGTTATTCCACGTCTGTCTCGCGCCTCACATTGCTGCTCTCTTGTTCTCAGTGAGACTCGGCTCCTGGAGATCGTAGAAGCTGCTTGTGAGAAAGCAGATTTTGAATGTAACCAGCTGCTGGAGCAGATCGAGGACCAAGTGGAGACATGGTGGTTCCACAGGTAAGGAGATACGTGTATTAGGTTGTATGATTCTTGGTCTGCGTCTTTTGAGGAATGACAGAGAGGAACGTGTTTAGTTGGATTGTAACAATACGCCTTTGTTTTAACTTACTTGTGTGTGTGTGTGTCCTGCAGGCAGCAGGAGGCACCAGACCTGTTTGAATGGTTGTGCATTCAGGAGCTGAGAGTCTGCTGTCTACCTGGGCGCTTTGGACCTGACTGCAAAGGTGTGCGAAACATTAGAAATGGAACAGAGGCGTCCTGATATCAGTTTAAAAACCCATAACAAACCACAGACACTAGGAAGACAAAACGGGTAATAATGCAGATCTTTAGAGTACCACATCTAGCATATGTATCCAATACAGAGTGCCCCTCGAGCCCTGGTGGTGTCTGCGGAGGACTGGGCCGCTGCGAGGGGGAGGGGACCCGCCTCGGAGACGGAGAATGTGTGTGTGATCCTGGATACTCGGGTCATCTGTGCCAGAGCTGTGCGGACGGCTACTTCAGAGAGAGGAGCTCCAACAGCAGCAGAGCAGCCTGTGCAGGTGCTCGACATTCAGACGACTGTTACGAACCTCTGCGTGCATTTAAGTCCGTTTACAGGTTGTTTTGAAGGAATTGCACCAATGCCTCTTCCCCCCCCCCCTTCCCCCTCCCTGTGCAGCTTGCTTCCACTCGTGTAAGAAATGCGCGGGGCCGCAGGACTACAAATGCCTCGACTGCAAACCCGGATGGATCCTTCATGACAACAAGTGCGTGGGTGAGTCTGGCACCGGAGGTCCCGCGGTGACGTTTCATTGACTTTATTTTCCTGGATGCGAGTTGTTTGCGCGTTGTTTGTGTGTTGTTTGAGCGTTGTCGTTGTTCCCCTGCGTGTCTCTCAGATGTGGACGAGTGCGGCACGGAGCTGGCTCGTTGTCCTTCTAACACCTTCTGTCACAACACAGAAGGATCTTATGAATGCAGAGGTGCGTTTCTCCACTGCTTGCCCCATTCAGTCCTTCCTGCAACAGGAGGCGTTTTGCAGCAGGTGACCGTGACCTTCTGTCGTCCACAGGCTGTGACCAGGCGTGTGTGGGCTGCATGGGGACCGGCCCCGCCCGCTGCAAGAAATGTGCACGTGGCTACAAATTGAGAGGGGCGAAGTGTCTCGGTGAGGACGCAGCGCTTCTTCTCTCTCCTCCCGTGCAGAAGAAGCCCGCGGCACCTTTCCTCTCCCCTCACTGTTATTATTCACTCGTTGCTTCCTGGCACAGATGTAGATGAATGCGGTGATCAGGCGATCGCGTGCCCCGGACTCAACGAGGCCTGCATCAACGAGGAGGGCTCCTTCCACTGTGACTGTGCTGATGGATTCATCAGGAGAGACAGCATTTGTGTTGAGAACAAGCCTCCTGGTAAGCGGCCGTAGACCTACAGAGAATAGAGCGAGGCTTCTATTTCTACGATCCAACAAACAAATTGACACCTTCCTCTTCCTCAGCTGGCCCAGAGAAGGGTCTGTTTGACGACATGACGGACGACGAGGTCCTTGTGCTGCAGCAGATGTTCTTCGGCATCGTGATCTGCGCCATAGCTACGCTGGCCGCTAAGGGCGACATGGTTTTCACCGCCATCTTCATCGGGGGTGTGGCCGCCATGGCCGGATACTGGCTGACCGAGAAGGGAGACTACATGCTGGATGGATTTCTGAAGGGACGCTAGACTGTCTGCAGCCTTGAGAAAGGACCACCAGCCAGTTAAGGTGAAGAAGACTCAACGGGGAGGAGGGGGGGGGGCAGAGAGCCGATTGGGGCTTTACTTGAAAAGACTTGGGTTAATTTATGTCTATGAATAGGACAAAAAGGGAGAACTTGAGGGCCGTGAAGCCGTGAATATTGAAGAGGAACAACGAAGCTAAACTGCACTGACACAAAGGAACTGAACTCGATCGCTTTCCTCAACTTTGTTGGGAGCAAGCGGGGACACGAAGACCGCTGCTGATTGTTAAAATCTATTATGCATTTGGACGTCTCGTCTGGCCGCCATGTTGAAGTGATGTCTCTCTCTTTCACCTGATCCAAAACCTCCCTCCATCACGTGCGTCACCTCTTCGTCATCTCGATGCGGTGACGCAGAAGGTTTCCCCACAGGCTGAACGGTACTCGAGTTTCGTCCGTGTCTCCAGATTCCAGAAAGCGGCCGTTTGGTCAGATGAGGGAATTTTTAGGAGTTTGCTTCAGTCGCCCCAAAAAGCTCATCGAAACTCTGGGATCTTTTAATAAGGAGCCACTGGTTATTTGTGTTGGATGACTTTTTACCTCCTTACGTACTGAATGATTATTTTTACTAATAATGCATGAGAAAAGGATTTGAAGTAATAGGTACTGAACCTTATGGATGTATGTATTTATTTATTTATTGACTTAGTTTAGCATGAACGATCACACACACAATACTGCTGTTTGCTTATTGTTCTTAAATATCAGCTCAGATCTGGATGATTAAAGCCATTTTCTGTTGCCTTTTCAGCAATATTTATGGGGAAAGATATTTATAACATTCTGCTCTTGACATTTCCCTTTGTGTGTATTTTTTCAATGCAGTTTCTCTTGTTACTCCAGCAGATAAAGTAGCGTCGTGTTAGAAAGCCGCCAAAGCATCACTTCTTACTCCCACCCATCTACTTTACTCTACTTTGTGTTTCCCAGTTTGCAAAGTCCTCATTCGTTATCTTACGTTTTGCTTTAAAATAAAAAGTCTGTCACTCCTCGTTTTTTTAATATTTGAATTTCTGTGTTGATTTTGTGACGTTCCCTTTTACGCTACATAAAGAGAACGAGTAAACACACGGGAGGTTGTTGAAAAGGATTTGCTCACATTTACTGAACCTTCTCATCTCTGCTTGAGCAGCTCAAGGCTACATTAGCATTAGCATCTAATAGCACAACAGCTCTCCAACAGAACTGTGAATGGTCAGGTTGCATTCTGGGTAATGTAGGCACAAGGAAATACCACCAGAGAATAGGCAGCTTTGATTTTTATTCCACAACAAACATGTTCAGACATTAAGTCATTGGTTCACTTTATTGACCCACAGCTGTGATTAAAACAACCCTCATAATGTAGAATGGGAGATAAATCTGCATTTTTTAATATTCAGAAAGATACACTTTCATCTGGTTAAATAATCCAGAGTTCCCATAATAGCTTTGACAGCACAAACTACAGAAAAGCATCATTTACACGCTGAGCGATGAGTCTTTGCTGTGACCGATTCCCCTCGTCATCCTCAGCCACCTAATTGATGAAGGCAGAAGAGCTACAGGTGGGCAAACATAGGAGGTGCATTGTTGGGCCTTTTAGTGCATCACTGCCCCCCAGTGGTGACTGCAGACGCTGCATCCCTCATGCATCCTCCCCCAACCATCAGCTCACTTTCTACTTCTTCCACGACTCATGTGGCTTCTGTGACTTTCTTCCACTGCCTGGAAATCACAGCGTTTTGTCTGTGGCCTGAACTCAAACCTCTATGAGTTACACATGAAGAGGAGTTTAAGAGTTTAAAGCTTCTTAGCTGAGTCACATTTCTCTCTCTCAAAGTCTGGAAAGTGCAGAAAGGGACTTATTTATCAATCGAGGCACCTTAAAGTAATCACATATAGAAATAGCCTCCGTGTTATGAATAACTCGGCGAAGGTGGATGATATTAAATGGTATTTTAGTGGATTTTATTGGAAAATCTGCAGTTTTTTTCGAGGATAAAAATCCCTTAATGGGAATTTAATGTTTTCAATTGAGTTCAGTTCTCCATAACAAAGCTGTGTTCAGTAACTAATAGATAATATTTAGATCTCTCAGTACGATGAAGAAGGATGGCAGGAGTTTGCTGATTAGTCTTAAAGCTTTTGATGTTTGCTTTCTTACAGACATCAGTTGCTAACATTCCCTTTGAAATGGATCCATTATTTTTGCAGCACTAAAAGTCTTCTGACATCTCCAGACGTCTGTAAGTATGCAGGAAAAAATATACAATCTCAGGCAGAAAAGAGACAAACACTCCATGTGAGATTCTATTTATCCACTTTTACTGGAAAAAAAGTATTATAGGGATTTAAGGATGCAAGCAAAAGACTTTATGCTACTTCAGACTATATCTAACATTTAAAATGAATTTCAGTAGCACTCAGCAGACTGTAATTATAATATATAATAAGCAGCAACAAAAACAAAACTTTGTCGTAAAACTGTTTGTCAGATAATCAAATGGCTCCATGAGATGAAGGGTTCTCGTGTCCCCGGGGGAAGTATCATGGCTCTATGCTACGCTAACGTATCGGGGAAAGAAAGATCAACGCTCTTTTTTTGGACTCTACCTCTCTGGATACGATGAAGAAACCTGCAAAGATCACATGATCCTTTTTAACCAGAACCTCATCCATCCAAAGCAGACTACAACAAGGGAAGAGGCTTCCACAGAACACCAAGCTGTCTGCTCTGTAGCTGTTTAAGGACACATCTTATATCCTGAAGAGATTGTTTTTCATGTCGGTGGTTTTGTCCACACGGACGTCTTTATTGATCTGGAGGAGAAACAAAGAAAAAAAACAATAACGGTTATTTAAGATGAGCTCATAGGTGCTTTATGACGTTTAATTATGTGAAATAATCTGCTTGATAAACGGCTTCATTACCAGATGTTCCTGGTTTGACTTCAGAATAAAGAGTTTCCTCTTCTGCTGCACATCTGGATTTTCCTACCAATGAAAAGATCTTATTTTTGCATGTTTGCCAGTAGTGCTCTAGTTTAAAAGAATAATGTACTGATATACGTCGTCCTCAGAGATGTAAAACCCAAAATAAGAAAAATAAATGTAAAAATGAAAAATAAATAAATTAAATGTGGCATCCCCCTTATGTTTGATTCACGACTGCACAGTATTGTCATCATTTCTAATTAACAAATAATTTAAATGACCAACAAATTTCAGTCTAAAGTCTGTTGTGTACTTTGTTGTGTACTTGTATGCAGGATGTGTATATTGTTGACATTGGCCACGTTGGACGACGTATGAACGTATTAAACTAGAGCAGGTAGCACCGGTTAAATACTAGAAGCTGTGTTGGCGTTGACTGTACCTGCAGCTGATGGGATCCTCACATCCGAGTAAACGGGGCTCTCGTCTGGTTCATCGTGCTTCTCTGTCACAAAGACCACATGAAGAACTTTGATGAGAAGAACAAAATCATCTCAGCTGTCAAAGGTGATTCTCACTATACAAAGTAAATCACCTACCCTTCTTTTTAAGGTGTTTGAGCTCGACCACAGAATATGTGAGGCTGGATTCATCTGAAATTATAAATCTTGTTTGATTCAAGACAGTTTGCATTGACTTTGAATCATCTAATTCTAGTATTTCTAACAGCTGTGTGATAAGGATTAAAGCTGACCAGGAGGAGCAGAAGCGTAATGTCCGTCTTGAGTTTCACCCTGGTTGATCATGTGGTGTGTAGCTGGGCTCTGATTGGTCCTCTGAGACCTTGTGGGTCCAAAACATGAAGTAAATACAGAGGATTTAATGAGGAACATGTAAAGTCCTGCTGCCATGTTCAGAGTGAGAGAAGAGAGGCTTGTACCAACCTGCTGAGGCTTGAAGCTGCAAGAAAAAGGTTTCACATTGATCATTAATTAGTGTGTGTAATAATATCTGTGACTTTGACTTATTTCAGTGAAATCAGTCTGATATCAGAAGGAAAAGATCTCACCTTCTGACTTTCTGTAGCGACGCAGAAACAGCAGCAGGAGAATAATCAGTAAAACTCCAGAAACCAGACCGACAACCAACGGCACGAGAAACACAGAGCTTGATGCTGCTTCTTCAGGATCTACACACAAGTACACACCAACCATGAAGAGATACACAAGTAACAATAATAATACAGTTTATTTATAACACACTCTTCATCAACAGATCTCAGAGTGTCACAGAGCCAGAAAAACATACTTAAAACAAAGTAAAACTAGTAAAAACACAGGTACTAATGTGTTGTAGTACCGTACTACACACAAGTACTATTATATATTACTAATATATTGTCTCACACAAACAAATAGTTTATCTTAAGATAACTTCTAATTCAGTGACACCTTTTCTCACTCAGACTGTAACACATGTTACAAAACTCGTACTCACATTTCACTGACAACCAGCTCTCTGCTGAGGTCAAAGTCTCCAAACCTTGAGGTGATTTCCTTCCTCTACATTTATAAAAGCCTTCATCTGACTTAGTAACTGCAGAGATAAGCAGCTCCCCTCTGACAGGATTTGGGATGATTGTGTTATTTTTATAGAAATCCACATTATAAAGAAGGTTTTCTGTCCTCAACTTGCAGCCAAGAGTGACGGAATGTCCCTCAGTCACAGGACGGACAGGACTCACCAGGATGACATCACCACCTGTAAAGAGACCAGAGGACAGGAAGTCAAACAAGCTGATGAACAATGAGGAGAAGACATTTATAGTTTACATTTGTTATTCACATTCACACAGTAGCTGAGCGAATAGCTGCATTTCATGGATTAACTTGTTCCCAGTCGCGTCATAGAATGTATGTCTTACTTAAGAGACACACATTGCTTAAATACACTGGGAAGGTGCAGGTGATTGGACACCGGTGGAAACAATCAGGCACACGGCAGACAATCACAGGGGAAGACAGGAAACCACTAAATAAAACAGGAAACAAAGCCAAACGGTGACAGTCATCAGTCCGTCCAGTTCACACGCTGGTCTCAGGCGCCGTTGGTCTCTCTATCAATTTACCCTCAACCTGTCTGCATGTTTTTGTTTTCCTCTGCCCTTCAGCGTCAGACCCTCGTTGGACCACAGAATGCACCGTTATCAGTTCAGCGGACTCTGCTTAAGGTGTCAGACCTCTGCTCAATCCCTCCAGACCGCGAGATGTCGGTGGAGTTTCCCTCCCGACTCCAGTAGAGCCTGAGGAGCTCCTCATGTTCTTCTTTGCCTTGTTTTATTCTCTTCACAATTTGGTTGGTGAATAAAATCAGGTGATTGAACTAGAACTGCTGTGAGTGTGTATTTGGATCCACCGACTACACCACCCAACAGAAAGATGCTGCAGCAAACTAAGATTGTTGAGTTGTTTGTTAAAATAAATATTGAGTTAAACTCATCATGAAGTCACCTTAAAAATGTCAGCACTCTGTAATAAGATGTGTAAATACTTTAGATATAAAAACCTTTAAATGAATATAAACTCACTGTGTATAGTGATGTTGGCTGCATTGCTGAACTGTGTTACAGACTCACACCAGTACACTCCACTACGCGCTCTAGTGTTGGTGTTGCATGTGGATCCAGTCATTTCTCCCCAGTTAGAACAGGTTGACACGTCACCATCTTCATCAACCGTCATCACTCTCCACTCAGTAGAGTTTCCCTCACAGATCAGTGACAGTGACTCTGTGCTGAAGTGCTGCAGTCTGTGAGGACTCACTGTGAGAGACGCTGCTGGATTCACACCTGAAGACACATCATTAGGAGACACACACAGGACAAACAATGTCAACACAACAAGGACATTTATTCCCTTGTGCAAGAATATAAAAGTCTGAACAAACTCACCTCCAGACCAGACAAACTTCACATCACTATACTGAGTGTAAGACACAGGATCTCCTCTTCCAGCTCTGCACACATATCCTGCTGTGTGTGTCTGTCCATGAAGAATGTAGGAATCCTGTTCAGTCCCATTGGTGCCACCAGCTAGAAGCTCAAAGGTGTAGTAGGTGTAGTAGTCTGTCAGGTCTGGAACAACATTATACCAGAAGAACCTCCATCCTGCAGACGGATGTTCAACACTGCAGGTCAGAGTCACTGAGTCTCCAGGACTCGTCCATGATGGAGACACTGTGAGGACAGGCTGAGGATCTGTTGGAAAGAGGTTTGACAGAATAAAGACGTGTTATGATGAGTCCTTGGTGGATTACTGTCACTGCTGATGTCCTCCATCTTTTTATCTGTCTTCATGTGTTAAACAGGTGTTTGGGTACAATGTCTTTAAACATAGTAACTAATCTCACATTTCAAATATTCTATTTCAGATTCTTTGTCCTTAAATCTGCACTTGTAAGAGTTTCCATCAGACATCAGAGAAATGGTGATTTCATGTGTGTGTTGATGGTTTGTGTCCATCTCAATAAGTGTTTTGTCTTTGTAGAAGTCAGCATTCTTTTCCTTTCTCTGGTCTCCATGTCGACAGTGAAGAGTCACTGATTCTCCTTCATACAAGGAGGACGCAGGAAACCAAGAAACCAAGAAACCACCACGGCTCATGTGGGAGCCGGCCGTTTAGATAGAATGAGTAATAAGAGAGCCCTCAAAAAAGAGGATAAGAGATGTGTCTGCACCAAGCGGCTGGCAGAGGACGTGGAAACCAAAGGGGAAGAGGAGATGAATGCTACTTATGCGGACAGAATGGTCATTGATCTAGAATATGTCCAACTAACATGCAGTTCAGTGCAGCTGCTCCACGGCCTTCCCGTCCAATGCAGGCAGAACCAGAGGGTCCACCTCACCTCCACCCCCTCATGCAAACCCCAAAGCAGACGAGGCCCTAAACAACTAACTGGTGTCTGAGATGCATGTACTGGTAAAATATATTATAACATTGTTTTGCGCTAAAGCCGTGTCTCAAGTGTCCTGTATTTGACCCTGATGTGCAACGAGCAGCATGATACAAAATGTTAGTTTGCAGCTGTGTCCTGAGAAGGGAGGGCGGTCAGCTCGAGCTCATAGACGCTTCAAAACAAAGGACTTCTGTTCATGGCCTTGGTTCATATCTTATTCGGTACGAAATCTCCGGATCCACGTTTTTACTTTATGTCAATTCATTATTATTTGCACCGGCCACTGAGGAGGATCTTGTGTGTGTGTGTGCTACCCTCAGCTTCACCTGGGTTCTTATCTCAACCTGCTTTGCAGCTTCTCGTAACTGGCACGGAGAATGTTCTTCACATGTGTATAAAAACTCAGCGTTGTTACTGCTCGGAGACGCCATTACACCGAGCACTGAGATACGTGCTGGTGTGTTGGACCTCCTGCTTGCAAGCAATAGTTAGAGCCAGACATCCGGCAAATTGCTCATGTTGTTATGATGTGCAAACGGACCCAGATGCAACACGCAGGACCACCAAGGTTTCTCTTTCTCCAACAGGGTTATTTATTTTTCTCCGGCAGGGAAAAAACCAAAGGCAACATGAAAACACAGTCAATGGTGAGTGACATGCAGAGAGCTCGACTGCGTGACACCCGAGGCTCGACGCAGGAGTTTGTAGGTGCTCAACTGATCTCCGCGGAACTAACTGGCTACCTCTTCGGGCAGGTGAATCTCCGAGGTTCGACGCCGGACGGCAAGGGTGAGAAACAAGGGGTTATCGCATGATCACAAGGGCTGCGACAGAAAAACTCACGGACCCGAGGTACCGTGTTGGCTTAACGGACGGACTGACAGCTGGGGCGACGAAAGCCGGAGTATTTATGTCAGCTGGTCTAATGGGAAGACGAGACACAGCTGTGTCAATGGAGGAAGGCGTGGCACTGGGCGGGGCTCTGAGGACACTACTGGGGACACAGAAACAAAAGCACAAGCACATGGCAAAACAATAACAGACAGGGGAATGACATCAACATGAGGAGAGAATATGGGGAAAACAGAGGGGAAAAACACCAGTGTTAGACAGGGATCCTTACACATGTAATCTTTATCTTTTCTAAATAAATGTTAACTTTTTGACTTTAATTGATTAACGTGCTGCGATTCTTCTCATCAACCAACTCGGGGGGGATTGGAGATCCTGACATGTCACACAGACCCCCACTGCTTTGCAACAGCTCAGATAAGCAAGCCGGCCTCCCCACGACTCACATTCCAGGTACAAGAAGGGACACACTTCCATTTGGATACACTAACCATGAGGGGTTGGTGATTTATCAGTGATGAATAAATGAAGATATTGGATCACACACTAAACATGAGCTGAGTTTGTGTTCGCAAGTAACAGACGTGTCTCCCCACCCTCCGCTTTGCTTTTGGCTGACGAGCAATAAAGAGTGGAGATTGACTGTAAGAGTGAGAATGTGAGGTAATATTGAGCTATTCCGAAGCTATTACTTCAAGGTTAGGATGGACAAAGAAAAGACGTGGAACCGTCATACAACACCATTCGAATGAGTCCTACAGACGAAAAGGAAAGATGACATTGAGCGGGGAATTAAGGAAACATTTGTATTCATTTTTTCCTGATTTGACTATGGGGGTCAATAATCAGTTAGATAGATTTGAATCTTTATAAATGAATTGCTCCTCAAATCGGTCGGAAACAAGGCCGCTTGAGAAAGGCATTTTACAAAACAATAAGTTGATGCAGAGGTCAAAAGGTGATGGCGACTCGTCGTCGAGGAGCGAGTAAGCAGGACTCCCTAAAACAACAACTGATAAGGAGGAATCTTGGAAGTGTTGGAGCCATAAAATCCATCCACAGGTTGTATTTCCTCTCAGAGTCACACAACGAGGTTTAAGAATCACACACGGTTTGAATGGAATCAATCCTTTTCTATGATAAAATCAACATACACATTTTTTCTCAAATGTCAGCGCATGACAATTGTTAACTCTGTTTTGCTTTTCAATCAGGATCAGGCGACTCCAATGCGAGAAGGTCCAGGTCGGCAACGACACCCAGTAGAAACGGCGTTGAGGGGGTTTTATGACATTATGGCAGGAGGAGGCCTGGGGCTGATCACCGAAGGCAACGTGAAGACTGGGACAGAGCAGAATATAACTAGAATATCTGCCGATTTGGAAATGATTTCATGCATTTAGAGTGTGAAACACACTCAGATGAGATGTGTAGATTCCATTGATTTACAGCAATAAGAAGAACATATAGTCTTACTATCATAGAAAATACCTCCTAAATCGATCAGATGACACAATTACTCCACATTAAGGGAAATAATTGGCTACGTGTCATATGACAACAACAGATGTTCCAGCAGAGGAACATCATGAAGGAGAAGTACACACACACACACACACACACACACACACACACACACACACGCACACACACAAGCTAATGTCACACTGAGCTAATGTCACACACCAATAATACCAGATTCGGTCCAGGCCTGTCAACCATCAACGGGCCAGAACCTGTTTTAGTGCTGGTTGGCAATAAACCTGGTGCCAGAATAGGACCATGTCCGTGACAGCTACATCTGGGCCCAGATATATGGCACAAATTAAATGGGCCAAAGCTGGCTCACATCTGGCCGACACTCAGCCGCGATACGGCCGAGTCCGCTGGCTACCTGGGTGATGGCTCGGTGACCAGAGCACCAGCCCCACTGACAGCTTGAACCAGCAGCTGGCAGACAACTAACGCGACGACAGTCCTCTCACCAACGGGTTTCTCAGTACTTTTGCACAATGAAAAAGTGCATTCTTGTCTACGTTATCCCTCCTTGTGTTAGAGTCATAATCTAGTCCACTACGGATGAAGCTGCATCTCCTGCACTCCTGGACTCCTGCAGGGATTGTTCGTTCCTGCGCTTAGTGAGACTAGTATACATGGAAATCTGTAGCGAGTAAATGATGAAGGACAATCACTGTTGACGGATGTGACTGTATGATCATTTTTCAGTCCCTAAAGATGCTCACAGTGAACTGTGAGCAAGGAGGGAATGTGTTAGGGATTTAAGTAGAAGTGCGCCCCTAGTGGTGGAAATTATAATACAAGTAGAAATGTTTAGTCTAGAATTGTGGTTTGTGTGTTATTAGATTTTAGTTATTACATTAGCATGTTAGATGAAGTGAATGCAATATGAATCAAACACAACGTATAGTCATGTAAATCATATAAAAACTGTACACATTAACATTCTGTCACGATCTAATGCTAAAAACTGGGGACGGATGCTAATTTCCGTCCTTTATGAATGTCTCCCATCTTTATCCCCCAAAGAGGGTTTTTTGGGAGTTTTTTCTCCTGTCAGGTAGTAGATGAGCAACTGAATGTAAAACAGCCGACTGAGGCAAATGTCTTGAGAATTGGACAACATGAACTGTTTTAGATCTTATGATGAAGTGTGATGAAGTTTGATCATTTATGATGTGTTGTAATTAAAGTGTACTAGTTATAAGATGAAGACAAACTATGCATGCTTTGTTATATTCACTCATTGAGGCATAAAGCCACATGTATCTACATTGAATGTGTTGCAATGTGAGGGACAGAGAGGACAGAGAGGTTTCAGGTTACAGCTGCAGATTCACACCTGGATGAGAAGGGGACAGTCCATGAGGAGACACGTTTGAAGGAGAAGCCAATGACATTCAAATGCACCCAGGAAGACACACCTCAGGAGATTTAAAAGGACCAAAGCGAGGAAAGGACTGTTTTTCCTGCAGCCGCTTTGATAAGTCACTTTAGACTTGGTCAGAGAATTCTCTATTTCGCAAAATATTTCACTATTCGCATTGTATTTCACTTTGTAATTGTATTCCTTATCACTTTGTTGAACCCTTAACAGTTACCAGGGTAACATTAGAAAAAAGGTTCATTAATTAATATGCATATAAATGCATCTGTAATAACCTGTATAAACAACTAAAATACAATTAATTATAATTAAATCAATGGTTTAAATACACGTGTTCTGCCACCTACTGGTGGAGATATGAACACGTTGACTTTGCGTCTAAACTGTCTCTCCTCTGTGTTCACTAACTCTACAGCTCCTCCTGGTTTAAAGTCAATGGTGGATGTCAATGGTCATAAAGAGGAACGGGTTGGAGCCATAATGCAGGTTTTGGTGATTTTGGTTATCTTGAGGGAAACACTTGGTGAATTGGGACATGCAGTTCCTACACATGAACACAGGGTGGCACATTACCATAGAAATGCGTTTCAGTGAGTGCCTGCTAATGGTAAATGGTAAATGGTCTGTTCTTGTAGCTGCTAATGAGCACATGTGTGGATGGGAAGCAGAAGGTTTTTGACCGCGTTGAAGGTGTCAACGTGTCGTCAACCAGGTGGCGTCTTATGCTGCCTGTAACCAACCAATGTGATGTAATGCAAAGAAACACACATTGGTAACTGTACGAGGAGCACAGATTAAAATGACTAAAAGACTCTCAGCGCACTGGACAGTGAATTCTTTTTCCTGCAGAACACGAGACCGAACATGCGGAGGGCACGCAGCATCGTAAAGGACAGCTCTTACCCCAGCCACAGACTGTTTGCCCTCCTCCCCTCTGGGAGGCGCTACAGGGTGCTCCGTTCCCGGACCAGCAGGTTCAGGAACAGCTTCATCCCTGTGGCTGTCACTCTATTGAACTCTGCCCCCAACCCCCCCACACACATCTCCCTCAATTACTGTACTTCCCCCTCCACCCTGGCTTGACTGCCACACACCCTCCTCCTGCCACTGAACATTTGCACTGTTATTTTAAATCCATTTCTTACTGTTCATATTGCACAACTATTTCTTACTGTACACATCTATTTATTCACTTATTACACTTTACATATGCACATACTCTGCACTTTTTGCTATTTTGCACGTCTGGTTGGATGTTAAACCAGTAGGGCCGAGATCCTCGTTGTGGCAGTGGCAAGTGGGTGGCAACTTTGTGGCAGGCAGCGGCAATCGCCAGTAAATCAGTCGGCGTCACAACGGCACGCTGGGTGGGAGGAGCCAATTTTTCCCAGAAACAACTGTTATTTGTACGACAGGTCAGCTGCTGTAAATATTTTATTTTCTCAAATTTTATTTGAGACACGTGAGCCCCCGTCTTCTTATCACAGAGGCTAATTTTAGGTTTGGACCGGCGGGTTCCGTGTAGGGGGTGGGGCTCTCAAGTTTGATGCCACCCACTTGCCACTGCCACAAGGAGGATCTCGCTGTCACTCTGTTAAACTGCATTTTGTTGCCTCAGTACATGTACCCTGTGCAATGACAATAAAGTTGAATCAAATCTAAAAAAAAAATGTTCCCCCTGTTCGCACTATAGTGGCTTAACACATACGATGGAAATGTGTTAGGGCCTCTACAAATAGAAACCACAAAGACGTGTTGGATAATACCGATAAGAGATTAAGATTGTTGGATTGTTTGTTAAAAGTAAATATTGAGTTAAACTCCTCATGAAGTCACCTTAACAATGTCAGCACTCTGTAATAAGATGCGGGAATACTTTAGATATAAAAACCTTTCATGAATATAAACTCTCCGCGTATAGTGATGTTGGCTGAATTGCTGGACTGTGGTTACAAACTCACACTCGTACACTCCACTAATCGCTCGAGCTGTAGGTGTGGATGTTGAATCGCGGGCACTATC